ATATTCCTTCAATTGGACTTAAAAAATGGTGCCCATGACGCAGTTAGCATTATCAAAGCGCCCTGTAATTCTTATTCATCCTAAAAGCAGTACAACACATTTAAACATGTACTTAGTTTAAATATCCATATTAGTTATTGATTATTGCTCTAGGATTCAGTAATCCTGGCATGGATGAGTTATACCCTAAACTAGAGCCGCCATCTGTGCTTTAAAGTATATACTCTGTTCAGGGCCCTGGTTGTGGACCTTTAAATAGAAATACCTCTCCAAAAGGGACCTCATTTAGCAGCACACTGGCACAGACCTCCAAACAGACCAGTTTGGGCCTGAGTGCTCCCTTGTGAGACTGGGAGGATGTGATTATATGTCACCATGCCCTGGTGTACAAAGAACCTTTTGGTGAGAAGAGAGACATCGACCTGCCGTAACGTCCTCCCTTTAGACCTCAGAAGTTATGGAAACAGGAGCGTGGCTAAAAATAGGCTTATATCGATTTATTGCTGTAATCGGGTTTAAGTGTGTATCTATGTGTGCCAATGTGTGTATTTGTATGTGTGTCATGTTTCTGTGTGTATGTCATTGTGCATATCTGAATGTGGCTTTGTGCGTGTCAGTGAATATCTGTTAGGGCCCAGCTCACGGTATGACTACTTACATTGGGGGGGGTGCCAAGGCACTCCTGGAACCATAACCACTACAGTGCGCTCTAGTGGTAATAATGCTTGGAGAATTCATTTATTACCTTCTGTAATTGGTTATCATGATTTAGGCATCCGTTGCTCTTATATCACTTAAGCCGCTGGTTATCTGTCATTTTTTCATTGGTGCCCTTCCCGTTACAGATTACCAGTCAAATCATATTGCTTCTGATTTTTTTGCCATCAATTATTCCTTTTACAGTATGTATTTATTTGATTTAACAGTTTCCTACCCACACCAGATGTCCAGTTGTTATTTCCTACTCGTGATTAGATCATGATTATACCCATGACGCTGCGTACATGGGTGCCCAGCAGCGTGACCTATGTAAGTTGTCAAGAAATACTGCTAAAATGTTTTGACTACTTACGGTCGGATGGCACCAAGGCATTCCCATTATCGTATCATACACAATGTATAAGGTTTCCCAGTTAAGAGTCCTGATATTTTCAATATTTCACCATTACATTGATACCAGTGTTTGTCATAATGAGGTCTCCGATAGCGCTACTAGACTCTGGATCAGGAAAGGGAAATTACAGTAAGTGTGGAAACTATTTTTCGCATTTATTATTTATTTATTTTATAGATCTATGTGGTATAGTGATAAACAATGAATTTTTGGTAACTAACAAAAGAATGTAAGTTTTAGTGTGAAATATCAGAGCAGGTATAAAATAGCAGAATTTAAGTTAATTTGCTTCAGTTTGGCTACTTTGGTAAAAAATGTGCCATTCCTTAATGAAGGACTCCCCACAAAATTCATGCTTTAGTTATTCACAATGGGCTTGATTCACTAAATGTGGAATTGTAGTCAAATAAAGCGGAACAAGTTTGCGCAATATAAATGTCAAAAATAACTGGAAACCAAATTGCAAAATTCAGGCTAAAATGGTTAAATTGTGATTATAGTTAGCTTCTTATTCGGCCAGCTTCTTATTTGCAGGCTGAAGTTAGCTTCTTATTCGGTGAGCTTCTTATTCAGTGATAGAAAATAGCTTCTTATTCATCTAACTTTTTTATTCATTCAAAATGTATGGAAATATTATGAGCTGTGCAATATAAATATTATTTTCTTAATACAGTATTCATATGCAAGCCATATTTCGACACATTTTTGAGATAATGAAAACAATAAAAAAAATAATGTTATTAGTTACAAAAATTAAGTTGGCTTATTCAAATTGGCTCTTAGTTACATAGTTACATAGCTTTTGTTTCTGTAAAGTAGTACATTGTATCTTCCGCCTCTAAAATAAATAAATAACACATTTGCCACATAAAGGGGGCATCAAGATGCCACCTTCAAATCAATGTCATTTAAACTAAATCCATCTTGGCCATGTTGGCATTGATTTCTATACACTGGACACCCCTCTTTGTCATACAATAATATTTAGCGTGAGCCAAACCACAATTTTGAGAAAAAAACTGGCACCAAAGTGGCACCATTAACTCAATGCATTTCAATGGCTATTTCTGAATAAGTAACCAAGGTTTTCCTATATGAAAACCATCTTGACTCACCCAAAATACCATTGATTTCAATACACTGGGGACCCTCTATGTCATCCAACATTTAGCCTGAGCCAAACCACATCTCAAATTAAAAAACAGCACCAACGTGGCACCAGCAACTCAATGCATTTCAATGGGGATTTTATAATTAAGTAACCAAGGTTTTCTTACATTAAAACCATCTTGGCTCACCCAAGATAACATTTATTTAAATACACTGGGGTCCACTCTATATCATCCAACAACATTTAGCCTGAGCCAAACCACATTTCGTATCAATATCTATCACCAATGTAGCACCATCAACTCATTGCATTTCAATTTGGATTTCTGATTAAGTAATCAAGGTGCTCTTATATAAAAAACATCTTGGCTCCTAAAAATTTACATTGATTCAAATACACTAGGCACCCATCTGTGTTATACATTGGGGTCCAGTGAGCAGTTCACTCATGTTTGTTGTGTGTGTGGTGTGAATGACACGGCACATAGGCAGTTGCAGGGTTGTAGATAAGTTCTGGAGTTGTTTTAAACATCAGAAAAACATTTATGGGTCGACACATTTCGGAGAACTTGTGTGAATCGACTGGCCCTTTATATTAGGTTATTCAGGAGTCACCTGAGATTTTGGCTCCTGAAGTCCTCTGAAGTGGTAGTGGTGCATTGCCAATCAATGTGGCCATCCACACTGTGGACATGAAACCATGATACACATGACATTAAGCCAAAGGGTACATATAACCTAGCAGGTCTTGATGGTAAACAATAACCGATGATGTGATGCCAACTTATAGCTTGCATGATATCAATGGTATTAATATACCACAAGATCTGTAATGGCAATGTATAAAATAATGTTCTATATTCAATGTGGTAATTACGGGGGCTACCACAATGCCCTTCACCTATTCAGTAATCCCCATTGAAATGCATTGAGTTGATTGTGCCAGGTTTTGATATGTAAAGTGCATTGGCTCAGGCTAAATATTGCTGGATGACATAGAGGGTTCTACGGTCTATTCATAACAATAGCAATTTGGGTGAGCCAATATGATTTTGATGTAGAAAATCCTTGGTTAATTATTCAGAAATCACCCTTGAAATGCATTGAGTTGATGGTGCCAGTTTTTTAATACGAAAAATGTTTGGCTCAGGCTAAATGTTGTTAGATGACAGAAGATTGCCCAGTGTATTGAAATCTGAAGTGGAAATCAATCAATAAATTGATTATTTTTGTGTATCTGCCTCTGGCCAAATTAAGAAACAGTGCGTGCACGCTCCCTGAAGTAATTCACACCAAACACAAGTTTCAGGTTGATGAAGAACTTGGGGATTGTTTATTCAGAGGGGACGGCAGGTCCCTTTAAAAGCTAAATTAAATCATAAGCATTGTCAGAGATAACATGAAATAATACTGTATTAATTGGTTAGGTGTTAAGTGGTTCCCTTAATGCTCTGCCTACTAAAGGTGATGTCACTGGGACCATGAGGGTCTCCCCCAGATCCCAGCGCCATCTTGTTACACGAGGTAGTTAGTCGGTGTTAGAGGGAGGGAAGCTTCTAGTGGCCATTTTGTCTAATCACATGTTAATAGCTTGTGCACTGATTTCGGTTAGATGAGTAAATAGACATTTTACTAACTAAAAATTATGTCAGTATCTCATTTCCACAACAAAATCAATGGTATTTTGGGTGAGCCAAGACGGTCCCCAATGAAACACATTGAGTTATTGGTGCCACTTTGATGCCAGTTTTTAATCAAAATTGTGGTTTGGTTCACGCTAAATATTATTGTATGACAAAGAAGGGTGTCCAGTGTATAGAAATTAATGCCAACATGGATTTAGTTTAAATGACATTGATTTGAAGGTGGTGTCTTGATGCCCCCTTTATGTGGCAAATGTGTTATTTATTTATTTTAGAGGGGGAAGATACAATGTTCTACTTTACAGAAACAAGAGCCAACTTAATTTATGTAGCTAATAACATTTATTATTCTTTTTATTGTTTTCATTATTTATTATATCAGAAATGTGTATAAATATGTTTGTATATGAATACCGTATTAAGAAAGTAATCTTTATTTTTGCACAGTTTATAATATTTCCATACATTTTGAATGAATAATAATAATAAAAAAAAAGTTAGATGAATAAGAAGCTATTTTCTATCACTGAATAAGAAGCTCACTTCAACATCATGATTACATTTTATATTCAATTTTTAATTAACTCGATTAAATGATATATTCAGTGTTTACTAAATAACCTTCATTAAATTATAAATATATATATATGTGTGTGTGTGTGTGTGTCCGGCTATTTATCCACGCTCCCTAGGCGGCCTTCTCCCCCAGTCTATGTAGTCAGTGTACTAGTCTGTATACGTTTGGGTGTGGTCTGGCCATTTTCCCACAGTCCCTAGCAGGCCTTTTTTTTTTTTTTTTTTTCCCTCTTTTCAACTTTTCCCTTCCTCACAGCAACGTCAAGTTCAACTGCACTCATTGGCCTCAGTGACTGAACCACGCCTCTCGTCACGAACTCTTTACATGACCAATCACTGCCAGGCAACTGCTTAATATGCACAGAGTCGGCCAATCCGCTGTTGGGTGGGTGTGGCTAGAGACACTGTTGCTAGGCTTCGGCATCTCAATCGTTACCATCCCTGCTCAGTAGTTGATTGGGATCTGTCAACATTCACTGGGACACGCCCACCTTTGACATCCCGTCCTCTTTCTTTGACGTTTCGAATTCTGAATGGTTGGCAAGGCATTCCTCGCTGCTCTTGCTGCCCTTTCATTGGCTGAGACGTCTGTCAATCATCGCATGTCAAACCTAGGCTGTGCTGCAGTTTATATGGACTAAGAAGTCCCCAAAGCGTCTGAACTCCTTGTAGTTCGTCCCCACTTCATCTTGTTTTGCTTTCCCCCCCCTCTCCTTCTCTCCAGCAGGGGGGCGAGGGCTAGAGCTCATTTTATTTTATTATTACACAGAGCCAGCTCTCCCACTAGCTGTACTTTATACACTCACTCAGTATGGAGCTCAACTCTCTGTTAATCCTCCTGGAGGCAGCTGAATATTTGGAGAGAAGAGACCGAGGTATTGTCACTCATTGCAAATTCCACCACACCTACACCATAACCACTGCATGAACCCACACACTGGGGGGGCTACACACCATAAACACTGCATGCACCCACACACACCATAACCACTGCATACACTTACACACCATAACCACTGCATGCACCCACACACACCATAAACACTGCATGCACCCACACACACCATAAACACTGCATACACTTACACACCATAACCACTGCATGCACCCACACACACACCATAAACACTGCATGCACCTACACACTGGGGGGGCTGCACACCATAAACACTGTATGCACCTACACAATGAGGGGGGGCTGCACACCATAAACACTGCATGCACCTACACACCATAAACACTGCATGCACCTACACACTGAGGGGCTGCACCATAAACACTGCATGCACCCAACACACTGGGGGCTGCACACCATAAACACTGCATGCACCTACACACTGGGGGGCTGCACAACATAAACACTGCATGCACCTACACACTGGGGGGCTGCACACCATAAACACCGCATGCACCTACACACTGAGGGGGGGCTGCACACCATAAACACCGCATGCACCTACACACTGGGGGGCTGCACACCATAAACACTGCATGCACCTACACACTGGGGGGCTGCACACCATAAACACTGCACCTACACACTGAGGGGCTGCACACCATAAACACTGCACCTACACACTGAGGGGCTGCACACTATAAACACTGCACCTACACACTGAGGGGCTGCACACCATAAACACTGTACCTACACAATGAGGGGCTGTATACCATAAACACTGCATGCACCTACACACCATAAACACTGCATGCACCTACACACTGAGGGGCTGCACACCATAAACACTGCACCTACACACTGGGGGGGAGGGGGCTGCACACCATAACACTGCACCTACACAATGAGGGGCTGAGCACCATAAACACTGTACCTGCACAATGAGGGCTGCACCCTTTAACAGAGAAGTCTGCACCCCATAGACACTGCACACCATGAACAAACAAGGCACCCCATAAACGCTGCACACAGTAAACAATGCACCTACTAACCTGGGAGGGAGCTATTCTCTTTAACAAAGAAGCCTGCACCCTATACACACCTGCTAATATGGGAAGGACCTGCACCCCATAAACACTGCACCCTTTAACAGGGGTGTTTGCACCCTTTAACAGGGGTGTTTGCACCCTTTATCATGGAAAAGAGCTGCACCCAATCAACACTACACCCGTTAACATGGGCAGGGGCTGCACCCTAAAAATCCTGCACCCAATAAACATTGCTTCTACTAACATGGCAATGGACTGCACCCCATAAACACTGTATCCTTTATCATGGGAGGAAGCTGCGACCCATACACATTGCCCCCCTAAAACAAAGCAGCATTTATCGTTGGAGGGAGATGCATACCCATAAACACGTTTACCATGGGAGAAAGATGCCCCCTCATAAATACTGCACCCATTAACATGGGAAGGGGCTGCACCCCATAAACACTGCGTCCATTAACATGGGAAGAGACTGCACCTTTTAATATGGGAGAGCTGCACCCCTAAAACCACTGCAGAGTAACACAGAAGGGGAGTACAGCCCATATAAAACACTGCTTTGTAACTTAGGAAGATGTCTGCAGATGTCTGAACTGCACAATAACTTGGGAGGGACTGCACCCCCACCTCAAAACACTACACACAGTAATGTTGAAAATAGCTTCATCCCTGAGCTCAGAACAGTAACATGGGTGGGGGCTGCAACAGCTTAAAGTCTGCACTGTACCATGGAAGCTTCAAAGCCCTTGTACTTTAATATTAATGGGGGGCTCGCATCCCAAAAAAACTGCACAACAACATATAAAGGGGGCTCCAACATATCCTGCACTGTAACATGGGAAGGGGCTACCCACTATAAACACTGCTTCATAACATGAGAGAGGGCTGCTCTACGTAAACACTGCATGGTAATATGGCGGGGGGCTACACCCCCTACACTTTACATGTCAACATGGGAGTAGTCTGAAGCCAAGTAAAAACTGCACAGCGAAATGGGAGGGGGATGCCCCCCATAGACACTGCACAGTATCATGGGAGGGGGTACACCCTAATTAACACACTGTACAGTACTATCCAGGGGGTGGAAATAAAAACACACAAAGTTCTATGTCCATAGCTTTCATTCTATCTATAATACACACAGACCTGTCGCAGTCATGTGTTTCCAAATAATAATTGTTCCAACATATACAAATTTCTGAAAAGTACACATTGCCTCTAACAATGTCTGCAGTGTGTTCTGTCCTTGCAAATCTCATCCCAGCCTAGAACCTCACACTAGACCTCTTTAATGCGTATCCTCCATACAGTGCTACTTTCTATGCATGAACGGACACTTATTGACGTGTTCCAAGTTTACAGACTCTGTTCTAATGGTACACAAGTGTACTCTGCAGACCTGATATTATGCTATGCATGTGGAGTAGGGCTAATGGCTCTTGTCAGATCATACTTCCCTGGGGACATTTCCATGACTGCTGCTGTTTTTGGTTACATTGTTTTGTGTGTAGATGTCGGAGTGTCATTTTATTGTGAGTGTCAGTGGGGAGTGATTAGGATCCCACCCTGCAGGCTAGTCACATGCTGTGCATGTAAACATTGTAACTTATGGAGTAGTTTGGAGAAGGGGTGAGAAGTTGCTACACAGTTGCATGTGCAGTGATCAGTGTACTGTGTGTTTTAATTATTGTCCCCCTCCTCTCTCTTTTCCTTTGACAGAAGCAGAACATGGCTATGCATCAGTTTTACCTTTCCATACTGATTACTCCTTGAAGAAAACCAAAGCAGCCTCATTATCTAGAAAATCTCAAAACAACAGGTAAATAGCAGAGGGGAGAGTCCCTTCCCCTGTCCTGATTTAGGGGCTGCAGATCATATGAGAGTGCTGGGGGTGGTGCTGGGAGAAGTCGCCATTTTTCCTCCCTGGGCTTGGCTCTGTTTTGATCTCATATAAACACTGCCACGCGTACACCATGCACACAGCGGCCCATGCATGCAAGCCCTGCAGCAGCCAGCCTCATCAGGAGACACACACGAATTAACCTCTTCCATGCAGTTACATTTCACTTCTCAATAACCACACTAGCACTGGAATGCAGGACACTGCATCATGCTGCTTTTAATGGATTTTTATTATTGTAAAACAAAAACAATGAATACAATATGTATATTTTATCTTTGTGGAATTTTATAACATAACTGTGTCCTGGGCACCCATTACTAAACTATTTTAAACACTATATGTGTGGTTTTTTTTTTTATTGTTTTAAATAGCGAGTTTGTCTTTCTACATACAAATGTTTCTGTATCTCTTGATATGTGTTCAGGCATTTTGTGGCCCTGCACACATAGTGTAGTTTCTATGTTTATTAACTTAGTTTGTTATTTTGGGGGAATAATTGAATATGTAAGCATAATAGCCAGTAAATATGGCAAGGGTGTGCTGCATGTTACTTACGTATTTATTTATTTATTTATTTATTTATTTTAGTTTTTCTTGAGGGGGAGAGGTTATAGTCATTTGTAATGGTGAATAATAATACATGTTAGCAGAAATACAACTAGCCTTCATATTATTAAAAATGTACTTGCATTATATTTGATCCAGTGCACTGTATGTTAAAGGGTCACCCTGAGCACTATAACTACATCATCTTTCTGAAGTTGTTATGGTGCAAAGACCCAGCCTTGGCAAACTTCAAAAAGCAAAACGTTAAGTAATAATTACATTTTATTTCTATGTGTAGGGCAGCTTCCCTGCAATGTCAGTCAGCTTAAATTCTCTGTTCCTGAGAGGCAATATTATTTTTGTGCGTGGTGTAAGCACACACAATGTGCTAACCCCAGACGCCTTGGACAGGCTGACCTTGATTGGGTTAGTTAAGTGCAACATGTCAGAGCTCCTACTGTAAGGCAATTTAATTCCCTGACAAAAACACAAACAGCTCTAATTAGAATTCATGCCCATTCAAAATGAGCGACTCCTGGATTACAACTCCTATTATACTTAGTGAAATTATGAGAGCTTAATGGGAGTTAAATATGTTTCTGGTGTAATGAGATCCAAAGGTAACCACTTTCTAAACAATTTATGTGGAATATTACTCTCTAACCAATCATGTGTGGTGGTTGGCTGAGCCTGATTAGTGTTTTATTCCACAATAGCTTTATATAGTTTATCACCACTTAATGAAGACATGAAAATTAATACTTAAAATGGTACCAGATTTATTAAAAAATATTTTTAATTCAAATACTAAATCTCAATAAAACCACTGATCTTTATGAGAAATTTTGGTCTGAAGATTCTTCCTCTATTAGAAATAATTGACCAGGCAAATGCTCAGCACTAACAAGGAAGTAAGTGCTGTCATAAATTGCAGATGCCAGTTATACAGTTTATGAAAGGCATGTTTTTAGGGCTTAGAAAATATTTGTTCCAATTTTAGCTTTTAAAAAATATACTTTTTTGGACACCGTTTCCTTGTAATTTGTCTTAAGAATTATTTTATGATCCTTGCATAGTTTTAAATTCCTGCTCATTTTCTGTGTGCAAATCAGATTTTAATCTATTTGTAAGTATGTAGGTTTTTTTGTTTTTTTTTAAATGTTGTTTTAGGAACATCAGGTGGCACTGACTTGCACTTGTATGTTCTTGATGTTAATGTTTACATTTTTGAGAGAAGGTTATGTATTTCTTAGGTTCGGAATATATATATATATATATATATATATATATATACACACATTATAGTCATTAAAAATCCTTTTATGTTTATTTGATTGGAATTTCCATGTGGGTAGACATACCAATGCATGCATATATTACAGTAGATAATTAAAGTTATAGACTATTATTTATATTTTGTGATTCTATAGGTATATATTGATCAGTATCCAGTTATTTTCTTTTTTGTTGGTCACTAGGTATTACGAGGGTTAAACATATCAGTGTGTTTGGTGATGCTACTGATTTTATGTTTAATGAGGCACTGTGTGCATTTGATATGCATGCTGTTCTTAGCAGATCATCTTAGCTCTCTCTACCCAGAGTGGATTATGTACTTCACACTAGACTTATTTCAGTAGAAGTTGCTTTATAAGATCAGCAATAACCCTTTATCTTAAGCAACAGCTCACCTGCCTGCTAATCAGTTTAGAGTTAAAGGACCACTATAGTGCCAGGAAAACATACTTGTCCTCCTCCTCCTCTCCTCCTCTTTGGCTGCATGCGCGGCAGGAGCTGCGCGCGCATTCAGCAAGTCTCACAGGAAAGCATTCATAATGCTTTCCTATGGACGCTTGCGTCTTCTCACTGTGATTTTCACAGTGAGAAGCACGCAAACGCCTTTAGCGGCTGTCAATGAGACAGCCACTAGAGGCTTTAGAGGCTGGATTAACCTATTTATAAACATAGCAGTTTCTCTGAAACTGCTATGTTTATAAAAAAAAATGGGTTAACCCTAGCTGGATCAGGCACCCAGACCACTTCATTAATCTGAAGTGGTCTGGGTGCCTAGAGTGGTCCTTTAAAGCAACACTGTTGGCACAATAACCACTACAGCCCACTGTAATGTTTATGGTGGCAGGAGTGTTCTAGCACCCTCCCAGAGTAACTGGTCAACCTGTTTAATAACAGTTTGACTACTTACCTGGGCCCAGGGTCCAGGAACTGTGGCTGTGAGGAGACCCTCGCTGAACCGACTGGGAGATCAAAAGATCTCCCTGAGTGGAGATGTGCCCCATCACCTATTTGAGGGATTGTTTTGATCTGGATCTCTATAGCTCCCTTGCATTCCCCCAACGCTTCATGATTACTCAGAGCACCATGGTCAACACGCTGAGTCATTGACTGAGCTCCGGGAGTGTGAGAGAGCTCTTAATGTGATCTACACTTGTTATTGATGCAGACCACAAAGGTCCCCCACCAGATCACTAGGGAACCTGCGACTGAGCCAGCCCCCCACTTCCAGTGATTCAGCCCAGAGTGCCCTCCACCGGACTACCAGGGATAACAGCCCCCTCCTGTTAAAAAGTGAGCAGACAGTGTCAGGTGAACGCTCAAAGATAATAAGCAAGGCCCTGCACAGCTAGATTTAACTTAGTGAGAGGAACTTCTAACCAGTGGAGGAGTCACTGGTGGGTGCCTGACAGGACCCAAACAAGTTGTCAAACCATCCTTAACCCCTTAAGGACACATGACATGTCATGATTCCCTTTTATTCCAGAAGTTTGGTCCTTAAGGGGATAAACTGTATGACCACTTACTCTGGGAGGATACTAGGGAACTTTGTCAGCCAACTGGTTACTTGTTTGATGGCTCAGGTCAGCCAACAGTCAAACTGGCATCTAAACCATTTTATTGGATTGTAGTGCTTATGGTGCTTGGATTATTCCTTTGGGGCAGTTCTTTTTATTTGCAATCACTCAAGATTTTTGTTGTGTGTGTATTGCTCCAAGTGAGTTAACTACAACTTCCATGATGCACTGCTAGTGTTTAGCTGGGGCATAAAAGTATAGTGGAAGATTTTAATTTTGCATGGCTGCTTTGACTTTTTTAAAAAAATGTATTTAAGGAGTATTTCTGTACACCTTCTCTATAAATGTCCCCAGAAAAGGAAAGTTACGAATGTAAATCTGATGGACACAAATATTTGCACTTATATTATTATTATTTTTTTTTAATTTACTTTTCGAGTGCAGGTTTTGCCTGATAAGCATAGTTCTGCTTTTAGCTTCATTTATGTTGACTACTATGCGTATACATTAAAAAAAGTAAACAATGATTTGTGTGTGTGCTCAGTGTACTGTGATTACATGCAGAGCTAAAGACACATGACTTCTTGGACTTTCTCTTGCCTAGCACGTCTGAATTTCCAGGTTCGTTATATGCTTACTAAGTTACATGATCCTGCTATGAGAGGAAGGGACAAGTGTTTAACCTAATAGTCGAAACACCGATGAGATATTTATTGATGGCTATATACACAGACAAAAAAATAATCATGATTCCCACCACCAGGGTTTTGGCTATTGTAATTTTATATGCTTTTACTTTTTGGTCCTTGAGGAAGTCCCTTATGGGAAGAAACGCATAGGGCCTAATTTTGATTTAAATTTCTTTTGAAATAAAGCCACTTTTCTCCATTGTATTCCTGCTGAAGTCCCTGGTTGATATTACACCTACTCGGAGGGAAAGTGCCCCCAAAGGCACCCATTGTGCACATACTACCAAGAAATCTTGTGAGGGCAATTCAGTTTGGTGCTTCATTTATTGATAGCTATTTGTTTGGTTTTTTTTTTTCTTTTGTTTTGTTTGCTGTCTGTAAACCATTAAGTGTAAAATTTAAACTATAATTTTAGAATTTTAAACCACTGTACTGTGTGAGGAACTGCTGTATTTCTCAAACTAAAATGAAGAAATGACCCTATGACATTAAATAGCTCTTGTTATGTTTAGAATTATTTTGTGCTATAGTAGGAACCTGTCAATAGCATTGTAAATATTTGAGACGGAAAGTGACAAAATACGTGATGCATGTGCTATAAATTGTTTTACTTGTTTGTGATACTTGATGCAAGATGTTTAAAACTACCAGCCCTGCACCAAATACACATTTGACGATATGGAAAATTTAAGATTAAAGTGCAGCAACTGAAAAAAGTTTAGAGAATTTCTTCATAATTACTTAGATATATATATATATACTTTACATAATACGATTTTGAGTTTTGGAAAGGTTTGTCACTATGTCATAATGTTACTGCTCTGGCATCCCAAAAACATTGTTCATAAAGTACGGGAGCAAAAAGGGACTTTGAGATTCTTATTGTTATTACAGAATTGTCTCTTATCAGTCAAATGTGTTAAGGATTACCCTAAAATAAATAAATGTACTATAATGACCTTTTAAAGCAAATTCACTTGCTTGAATTTAAAGTCAGCCTATATGTTTTAATTCTGGTTGTTTTGCAAATTATAGCTGTGTAAATGTGCAGACTAATTTAAAAACTGGCCTCTGCTTCCTGATAGTAATATCAGAAAAGTGATGGTCTATTCCTGCTGGTTAACTTGTTTGATGGCTCAGGTCAGCCGACAGTCAAGCTGCACGTAGTAAGTTGGGCTGAAAAAATGTAGGAAGGTTTAGTCACTGAAAATGAATTCATTAGATTGAGACTTCAAATTAAATTAAAGTTTATGGTCAAAATCTCCAACCTGGAAAATTTCTGTCTGCTATTATCTCAGCTCGGCTACTCTGGCCTTAAATTTGAAATCCACTTTGATTTCATTTTGAATTCTCACTTTGAAATCTATACCTCTGTACTGCCAAAAGTGCTGAATAAGATAATCCGTTTGGTTCCTAAATTAGGTTATCCAGTTCTGTGCATCATAATCTTGAATTCAGTAAAGACCCGCGGAAGCGCCAAACAAGCCAAATGTTAAATTTCCATAAGTCCCCATTGTTAATTAGTAGGGATCAATCAAACAGTACTCACAGTGGAAGTAATGGCACTCTTCTGACTCAGTGACCCCAGGTAGTGGATGTTAAACATTCAATGGCAACATACTCTCACTTCAGTGTGACTCAGTAATCTTTTTCTGTTGTTTTAGGGACAAAAGGACTTGGGAATCTAGCTGTTTCAGACTTGAGACCAGAATACTGGGCATGGGGGCTTGACTGTCAGAGTGTTCCCTGTAATGTTGGTTTAGTGAGTGTGATTTCGTTTTTATTGTACATTTTGACAACGATCAGTCTGTAAGCATTCAAACACATATGGTAGTTAGAAGAACACTATAGGGTCAGGAATACAAATGTGTATTCCTGACCCTATAGTGTTAAGAACATTATTTAGGTGGCCGGTCCCCACTTGCCCCTCTTAAAATGGGTATAAAACTTGCCTTTATTCCAGCACAGCACAAGGTGGCGGCGCAAGGCCCATGCCCAATCCACCTCCTTAGCTGGGATTGTCAGAATTTATCATCTCGGCCAATCCAATACTTTCCCATGAGAGAGCATTGGGAGGGTAATGTGCACGCATGCACAGTGCTGGCCAGTCAGCCAGCATCTCCTCCTAGAGATGCACTGACCAAGGAAGCACCTCTAGTGGCCGTCTGCGTGATTGCCACTGGAGGTGTCCCTAGTCAGAAATGTAAACACTGCATTTTCTCTGAAAAGGCAGTGTTTACATTAAAATGCCTGCAGGGACTGACTATAGACAACAGAACAACTACATTAAGCTATAGTTGTTTAGGTGATTTTAGTGTCCCTTTAAATGCCACAGTAAAAACTAAATATTATGGTTCACATCATGCTAACTGATAATGAACCTGCATTCACACACACACTCTCTGAAGGTGGCTGTTCACTCAGCAAGGTAAGTAAATTTAGGGTCATGGTTAGGGATTACATTAGGGTTAGAGACTGAATTTACAATATGATATTTCAACACATGAAGTTACAGTTAGGGTTATAATAACAGTCAGGGTTACATTTAGTGTTACATCAAGTGTTGTCGCGAACGGTTCGCCGGCGAACTCCGGTCAGCTGACACATCCCTGCCAATCTCCGGCAGACCCTCCCTCCCAGACCCTCCCACCTCCTGGACAGCATCCATGTTGAAGCTGCCTTCAACATGGATGCTGTCCAGGAAGTAGGAGGGTCTGGGAGGGAGGGTATGCTGGAGATTTGCCGGGATGTGTCAGCTGACCGGAGTTCGCCACGAACGGTTCGTGGCGAACCGTTCGCTGGAAGTTTGCGGACGGTTCGCGACATCTCTAGTCCCCAACCCTAATTTAACTAATTGCTTATAGAGCAATGCAGCCCCTAACCCTAAACGTCAGTGAATCCCTAACTTTATTTACCTTTCAGGACTTCACTGAGCAACCCTCTTCAGAGATTGTGTGCTCATGTCTGTTCCCTAGAGATCAGGTAACAGATCTATACGGGGGAACCAACTTTTGTACACAAGCAAAATGAGGAACTAGAATGGATTAGATGCTGAACAATGAAAGCTAACATTGGCCCAAACATAGAGGTTGAAACCTACATTTTGTCAACTGCTCAAAGGCAACTGGACAGTCTAAATTCCATTCCTAAAAGCACAGGCTTTATATTTGCATTTGCAAACGTTTTTGATTTCCTTCATTTTGTTTTTTTTCGTTTTACATACTATCTTTTCTCTTCCTTATTTTCCCTTCTCTATTTCTGGGTATTCGGTTGATGTAACACCTTTCTTGCCAATCTTTCCTATTAAAACCACGCACCATGTTAGTGGCTTTTTGAATATTTTGTGTTTTTTCTATGAGGTTTTTTTTTTTTTTTTTATTTTTTTTTTTAAGTAATCCACAGACAACTGTAGTAAACCTTCCTTGACCTAGAATAACGAAATGGCATATCTTGTGCATTGGATAGATTAAAACACTCCGACAAACCAGCTGCCGTGCTGCGGATGTTCATAGTGGTTCACATACATATTTTAGTGCATCTCCAAATTGAATGACAAGGTGTTTTGTGTATCCACCTGTTATCAGTATGTTAATCCTGGATATATCTGAAGATAGGTGGTACCTCCATCACATTTTGTGTTTCTGAATTCATACAGAAAGTCCTCATTTTATTAGTCTAATTTCCACAACTGAATGCAGCATTTTATATGCAAGAGTACACAATGTACTCACAGAGTGCTATTCATAAACAAAAACATGACTGTGCAGTATATATTCAGGCTCAGTGGCATGGTGGCCACTACCCCGTTCTATGGCGTGAGAATCTGCCCTATACATTTCTTGGCTACAGGCATTCTGCAGTGTTGCCTCGACATTTCTGTTACATTTTTTTATGCTAATCATGTTTTTCAAATTCATTAGCCCATTCAATCATCATTGCACTCTCATTAATACACACATCTCGTGCTAGTGATTGTTCTAGCCAATAGGTTAGCCAGTCCTCTGGTAGTATGCAAATGTGAAAATGTAATCTGCTCGGGTTTTAGACCTTTCATTAGTACGATGTACAGATGGGATTTGAGTTCCTACATGGAGAGCACCTTGCCATCCCTCACTCATGGCTGACTCGGTAACTGTAGATGCAAATACTCATGGGTGTCGTGAATATAAAAATATTGTTGGTGTTTAACAGAGTATTAACTAGTTTTTCATTAACCTCACTGATGATGCCTAACAAGGCTGAAACGATCGTCTGGGGTTGCTGTATCTCTCGTGCAGAGAGAACTTGCTGGTATTTCGGATCTGGACTGCCCGTATGGATGGGACCAGTCTGATATGCTTCAGATATGTTCTCTCTGTAATGGCACAAGATGAGCTAAAACCAGCTTGATTTCTGAGCGGGGACCCACAGAAGGGCAGGCTATTTTAGCTGCTGTCCGTTCTCAGAATACTTTTGCAACACGTTTTTTGCTCTCCATTAGTTTTTCATTAAACACAAAATTATTTTTTAATGCATTTATTTTTTTCCATTTCCTATTTTAATAGTTTTCTGAACCAAATATAAAATCATTATAAAATTAAAAGCGAAAACTGTCTGTTTTCTGGTCATTGCAAAGATCATTGCAAAGCTTTTTAAAAACCCTTAAATCCGATCTTAACCCTTTTTAGTGCTTGGAGATCTATTTATTTTTTGGTATTAACTTTCCTCAGAAAGGAATTCGAATTAATAACAATTTTTGTGACACAAACCCATTTCCTGGTTCTATAGTAATTCAAAAGGTTAAGGGGAGAGAAAATTAGGGGTGACATCAGAAGGAGCTGTTGCGTAATGTTAGCAGAGTTGATAAAGAGACTGTAATACAGTGCTTCATAACCCTTTTTATTTTCAACAGGGAGATTAGCTTGGCAACCTGTACTTCAATTTTAGAATTAGCTCAGTTACCCAGAGTTTAATTGTAACATATAACAAAAGGAATTCTGTAAAACGTTTTCTGCTATACTCTTCCCACTGGAAAGGCTGCTATGGAAAATTAATTATTGAGAGTTGTTGCATAAAGTCTAATGAAAATGAAATGCCTGTTCTCTCTCGGTCAATGGTTTTTCATTTTTAAGCCAAATAGGACAAAACTTTGAAGTCAACTTTGTGTTTGTGCTAATATAAAAAATATGTCAATTGTCCAAAATACTCAGTTTAGTGATGAAAACCACTATGTAAAAAAAAAAAGTAAGCAACTTGTTTGTCTTTGTTTTTTTTTTTTTTGTGCTGTACCCACCATCCCAATGTTTACATACTTTTTGTACTGTATTATTATGTAATATTTTAGAATAACAATGAGCACTATTCACTAAACCTCAAACTGTAGTGCATTGAAAATGATATGAGTTTTACATAAAAAATCGTTTCTCATTCTGCATGTTTTTGCCTTAATTTTGCACTTTTTTTTTCTTTTAAAATGTTTAAGTTCACTTTAATTTAAAGCATAGTGAATAAACTGCATTGATTTTTTTTTTCGTTTTTTTTCAGTACCAAATTTTGTTGAAATTACATTAGATTTTCTTGTTTTAAATCCCTGAAAATATGTTGGCACATAATCCAACTCTTCTGTAATAATGGGTAATATTTAATTGTGTATTATTTGTCTATGCTCTCCCGATGCAGTTTTTATATATTAAGATATACCCTTTCCTGTAAATGTAGAATACATTTAAATTAGAAATCCCCAAACAAAAAGGATTTCTTTCAAAACTCTATTTTTGATTGAAGAAGCAGTTGTCTCACGGCTCTGTATTATGAAAGCTCTCCATTCTAATTTAAAACAAGTAAATATTTTCTGTTAAATATCTACGTTGCAGAAAATTGCCAACAGAGCAAGTCCAAAAATGTTATATAAATAAAACCGATTTAAACACAGTTCGATTTGATCTCCAAGTCCCTTTGCAGGTTTGCTGGGGAGCTTTGTAGTTCATTCTCTGTTATACCGACTGGAACATTTTGTGCAGCCATTCTTGTAATATTCAAAGTAGCTCCCAAAGCAAACATTGGCTGTGTTTTGAGGGTTTTTATTCAGATTTTTTTTTTCTCAACAGCAGGTGGTGTGGATCATTTCAGAACTTTTCTAAATTTCGGCTTTTAGAGCTGGTTTCTTTATGTACACATAGCACAAAATCCTCCTACAACAGATCCACCTGTGGTTATGAAAACGTCAGTATTATTCACTAAACTAAGAATTCCAGTGGATTTAAAGGACCACTATAGGCACCTAGACCACTTCAGCTCAATGATGTGGTCTGGTTGCCAGGTCCCCCTAGTTTTAACCCTGCAGCTGAAAACTGCTATGTTTACATTGCAGGGTTAATTCAGCCTCTAGTAGCTGTCTCCCTGACAGCCACTAGAGGCCCCTTCCGCAATTCTCAGTGAGTAAATCGCACTGAAATGACGCTGGAATAAATAAGATCCCCATAGGAAAGCATTGAGTAATGCTTTCCTATGGACGGGTTTGAACGCGCTCGCCTCTCTGGCCTCACATGCGCATTTGGCTCCACTCGGGAGCTGACGCCGGCAGGGGGAGGAGAGGTCACCAGGGCTGAGGGAGCCCGGCGCTGGATTAAGGTAAGTGGCTGAAGGGGTTTTAACCCCTTCAGCCCAGCGGGAGGGGGGCACTGAGGGAGGGGGGTCCTATTAACCATATAGTACCAGGAAAACAGGTTTGTAAGTTTGAATGGAAAAGCTGAAGCTAAAATTGCCAGGTTTAGTCTATATCTAGTTGGAGAATGTTTTCAAATGTGCCCAAACACATCATTTCATCCAGGATTTACCTGTGGAGTCTTATTCAGTGAGTAAAGCTTTATGTTTGGTGTCATCATGGACAGCATGATGTCCCCAAGATCTGAGAATTCTTCTTAAAGACCGCACTGAACTCAGGGTTGCTGTGTGAAAATAATCTGATTAGCAAAGGTCAGCAAATAATGCATATTCACATTGGGTTTGCAGTGAAATACATTGGATTGGACAGGAGATCATTTGTATGGATCAGAAGAACTGGGCAAGTAACTTGTTAAAGAAAGTATTGGTTCATAATTTTACAAATGGGCAATAATGGACCGTCCATTCCTGTTTCAGCTTTTTTGTCAGATTTATTTTTCCTTACTTTTTAGCCACTTAATATAAGGTGTTGTGACTTATCGGAACAAAGGAAGGCAGATGCTAAACCAGGCATAGGCAACCTTCGGCACTCCAGATGTTTTGCACTACACCTCCTATGATGCTTTGCCAGCATTATGGGTGTAAGAGCATTATGGGGGATGTAGTCCACAACATCTGGAGTGCCGAAGGTTGCCTATCCCTGTTAAACTATGCAGCTGGGTTAGCCAACCCATATCTCTCCACTTGTTGTGGAACAATACATTCTCAGAATGCAGCAGACGGACAGAAGCATCATATGGGATGTACCACCAGAATACAGTAAATGTTGGGTTACCTGCTAAGCATCCCTGCCGATGAGCAAACATGGGATGATCCATTCCAACCACTTAACTGCGTGCCAACTAAGAACGTCAGCTCGAGCTGGAGTCAGAAGAATTGGATCAGTCTACTTAACCTATCTGCTAGGATGACAGGCAGCAAGATATAAAAGCTACGAGTGGTTCCTTCTCTTCCATGCATAACCACCATGGCATAATGCCCAAATTAGAGGTGTTTAGATACCAAAGAACACTCAAATTGAGTACTTTTAACTATTTTCTATGTATGAAGTCTGTGTGCTTTTAAATAGCAGACGTCCAAAACAGTTGTTTGGCAGATGGGAGAAGTGACTGTGTCTGGAGCAGATGACAGACATTTTGAGCTTTGAAGATAAATGAGGTGCAGTGAGCAGGGCAGCACACATATAGAGATTGAAGTCTAGAGGCTTTACGGTGCACTGATGTGTGGGGTCGATCCCATCTCAAAGTGAAGTATGAAGCCGAGCGATAATGATGTATCTGATGACAGTGCCTGGAAGATTAAAGAGCAGCTGGGGCTTTGTACAAAGGGATGAGCGATGAGAGAGGACTGTAATCTTCAATGTACTGCAAGAATTGAGCCTCGTTTACACACTTTTTTACACACAGAACACATTGTTGCCTTTGGATTCTTCTAAAATAACTAATGTTGCTGTTTAATGTACTTACAATGTTTCTTTTTGAGCTTAAATAGGATGATGGGGATATAAATATTAGGAGCCTTGGCCAGTGTCCTCTGTAGCCCAGTTCGCCTTAAAGGGCCACCCAGACCATGTCTTCTCATTTCAGTGTCCTTTTCCCTCTGCATCAAGGAACTGCATTGTTTATATTGAAGTGCTAAGAATGCCTCTGGTGGCTGTCTACCAATTGCTTTGCATGAGGACTTCCAGTGTCCACTAAATCACCACAGGAAAGCATTGATTCAATGCTTTCTTATGGGTAAGGCCTAATGTGCATTCAGTGCTCTCCGTGCATGCACATTAGGTCCCTCCCCCATCGGCTGACGTTGGTTGGAGAACAAGGCGCTGGCCTCCTCCTTGGTCTCACTATTAGCTCCCGCGCTGGCAGAGGTAAAATGCTACATCCAATTCTGCACTGTTGTTGGCAGCAAGCCAAAAGCTCGTTGGAACGGTGGCACATTATCAGGGGCCTTGATCGTAACCCAGGACTCTCCTTGTCTGGCATGTAAGCTGAAGGGGTGGCCCCAGCTGTGGGCAATATGCTGCTCTCGCACTAATGTGGTGATGGGGTGGAAGGCGTGTCGAATTTTGAAAATGTCCAAGTTTGGCATTCTCTGGCCTTGGACATAATGCGCTCATTCTGTTGATATGAATTAACCCAGCAGATCACATCTCTAGGTACTCCCATCAGGGCGGGGAGGGCATAAAGGTTGGTGAGCCCTGTCTAGTAGAATCTCCTCCGGGTCCTTATTACCCAGGATCATATTGAACATGGATTGCCGGGTATCATAAAGGGGTTTCTCAGTTTAGTCATAGTTGCCATACTATAGATGAGTTTGAGAATTTTTACAAATCTGCTACTTTGTTCCTAAATAAACACCCATATTTCATTTTCACATTCAATGGTTCTGGCAAGAATAAGTAACAGAATTTTATAAATTGGTAAATCAATGATCATATTAAAATCTGATATAGAAATGTACCCATTTTATCATTTTGCATCTTTGAAGGAAGAGAATTATACCATCAATATATTTATTGATGCCATCAGAAATCAATTTTATAAATACATGTGCAAAGACAAGACCTATGCATAAAAGAATACTGCAGGCACCATAACCACTTTAAGTGGTTATAGTGCCTGGAGTTCAGTGTCTCCTGGTCCTGCATTAATACAGTTACATTCTAACAAATACTAAACAGTTTATTCACCGCTTAACAGAAATTCTCGGTCCCCAGCAGCCTGAAGCAAGGCGTGCAATAACTAAATAGCTGAGGAGGAGAGGGTAGCAGGCATTGATTGGCTGAGAGTCTTAGCTGAGCGACCTCAGCCAATCACTTCCTGGTATGAATTTTTATGGTGTGAGCTTGAAGCATAGATCTGCTGCTGCCATTTTAACATTGAAGACCGTTCTTCAGTCTGCTGCTTATGACTGAGAATCACTAGTAAACGATGAGTAGCGCCCATGACTCCAGACACCATAACCACTTAAATATGTTGATTGTTATTAAGCTCATTTTCCCATCTCATTCATCAGCTTCCTCAACTCGAAGACTAATTCGAGATTTCCAATCATACTGCCAAATTGCAACATATGGTGAAATACAATCACAGAACGGTTTATTCACAGATCAAAATAAAGTGAACATAGCATAGCATGCGGACCTTGATTCCTGTAATACATCAAATGATTAGTAAGCAAAATGACAGCACTTTTAAAGCCTCACTGTACTAAAAAAAACAAATGCAAAACACTGGGTTCTCCCATCAGTATCTATAGACGTTTATATTGTATATTATGCATCCAAAGTTATGTACGCATTGTGACCATTCATTGATGGTCCCACAGCAGGCAGCCTACAGGACTGAGCTAAAAGCTAACAATACAACTGTATCCTTAGTTTGGTTGAAATGTTTCCACACTCTTTCATTAAAATGTTTTCTTTATGAAGTGCCAATATAAAATATTTGCAAGACTGACGAACAGAAGTAAAATTGGAAGAGTGATAGGAGCTGTAGGCTCCAGTAGGTCTCTATTGTTTGATCCCAGAGAGACTGAATTCTAAACAAGTTTATTTATATTCTATACGTTGGTAATAACATTAAACTCTCATTTACTCTCAGCAGACCAAGAAACGATAATTATTATTTTAAGTGCAAAATTGACCATTTCTAGCAGAAAACTATAAATAAGTGTTTCCGTTGCAAATAAAATGTGTTGACTATAAGACTAAAGATTGAGCCTTCATCATATTAATTTGTTTTTGAATTATATTAATAATAATAAAAAAAAATCTATGATGCCACTCTGGAAAGCGGCATTACTAGGATCTACTTAGACTTTGTTTGTCTTTGAATGTATATGCCATGCAAGTTATCTTTATCTTGCTGGAGGTTTTTTTTTCTCAATGCTTTCCTATGGGGAGATGTAATGCACGTGTGGCATCTGCCGCTCATGCGCATTATCACCCGCTTGTCGTGGAGCTTCGGTTCAGCGCCGAGGGACATCGGTGCTGGGAAAAGGTAAGTAAATGTTGGGATTATAACCTAGGGCAGAGGGGACACGAGGGAGGTGGAAGCGTTGGGGGCGATAGTGCAAGGAATACAGCTTTGTATTCCTGGCACTATAGTATCCCTTTAACTTTGAATTTTCAAATTGATAAATACAATATAACGCTGTCCATCTTCAAACTACATCTTATTCTTTTAGTCTCATTTACTTGGACTTACTCTAAACCTCTCTTGAGATATGTTTTTGTTTACTGAGGTTCAGTTGTATTTACATTTAAATATAAATGTATTGTTTACTTTTCATTAATAGTGTCTGTGCACGTAAAGTATTCTACTCACTCCAGTTGGATTATTTTCAATTGTTTGCATGCTGGTCATGTTTACAATGCCTAGCATGTCGATTTCTCGTGGTTACAATCTATTCATCAAGCTTGCCATTTGTGTTTCGACTAGCCATCTAATAGTTTTCACATAGAGAAATTTGTAAATAGGCCTTGAGTTGTTATTCAAAAGTCTGATGAATGGAAGACATTCACACTTCACTTAGCCTTTTTGTTTTAAGTCTGGGGCGCACTCATTTAAATAGCACGGCTTTGACAAAAAAAAAAAAAAATCAAACCTACGTCTTTGCATATGAAATGCATTCTTCGGCCCTGAAATCCATATAATTTATATTTGTGCACAATTCTGTATCATGCCCCTTTCCCTATTTAATTATGCCTGCAAGACTGGCATGCATTGAGCTCATGTGTAGATTTTCTCATGGGTCTAGATCTAGTATAGAGATTTTAATGCTTTTTTTTTTAGTAGAATTAACCTGTTAAACTCCACCTTTCCTCGTAAGACGCCTAAATATTATGCGAAAATCACTTTATAGTGGCTTCTTGGCAGCTGTTGTTGGAGAGAAGTTTGGCAGAGAGTGACACGAGTTGTGGTCTTGCAGCAATGAATTTTGATAACTGTATTTCTTTAGAATAAAATTAAATTGTGGCACAATCTAATGGGTTACTTCCTCATATCGTAGCCATGTACAGTCCACACTGTGGTTAAATGGGAACCCTTCTCTGAAAATGATACCATTGCATAATACATTGGAAATCCACTGTAACTTGTATTAACTTTTTCATGTGATATTTTGTTTTCTTTTAAATGTATTAGAGTCCTGGCACAGTCAAGGCATACATTGTATTGGAGGGTGTGGAATGGAAACATTGTTTCTATTTCTCCTCCTCTCTCTGTGGTGTCTCTTTGCCGAATATTTGGCCCAATGCTTGACAAGGAGTCAAGATGGAAGAACTCAGGTCCACGTTACAGGTAAATCCAATGATGCGGCTTTTTACATTTAATAGTACTTTGCAGACCTCACAAATACATGTTTGTTTAATATAGAGGATAAGTAACCATAATAATAATAAAAAAAAAAAAACCTGGAAAGTGATGGACCACCTTTAAACGTATAACGCTCGGCATTCAGTATTTTGCAAAGACGAGGAAAAGTGGTGTGAGGCAACTAATTACCAGGTGTACTAGACCATAGCATCTTTTGCCCCCCATAAACTGCGTCAAATAAACCCTTGATAAATGTATGTTTCACCAGCATTGAAAGACATTTGACTCCGAAGTCCTGACCTCTGCCACATGTTAAATAACTGCTGACACAGGAGAGCTTTCTTTGGCTCCTGGGAAACATGCTTCTGTTTTGAATAACACCCACCGTTTTGAGCTATCTCAGATGGCATAAAACTGCCTGTAGACATGGGGAGGGGGTGGGGGGGAATCTGTGAATATTTGTTGAGCTAAAGTTTTGTTTTGTTTTTTCCCCCCCAAGACACTTGGTAATTTTGTTAAAGGGACACCATGGTCACCTGAACAACTTTAGCTTAATGAAGCAGTTTTGGTGTATAGAACATGCCCCTGCAGTTTAACTGCTCAATCCTCTGCCATTTAGGAGTTAAATCCCTTTGTTTATGAACCCTAGTCACACCTCCCTTCATGTGACTTGCACAGCTTTCCATAAACACTTCCTGTAAAGAGAGCCCTATTTAGGCTTTCTTTATTGCAAGTTCTGTTTAATTAAGATTTTCTTATCCCCTGCTATGTTAATAGCTTGCTAGACCCTGCAAGAGCCTCCTGTATGTGATTAAAGTTCAATTTAGAGATTGAGATACAATTATTTAAGGTAAATTACATCTGTTTGAAAGTGAAACCAGTTTTATTTTTCATGCAGGCTCTGTCAATCATAGCCAGGGGAGGTGTGGCTAGGGCTGCATAAACAGAAACAAAGTGGTTTAACTCCTAAATGACAGTGAATTGAGCAGTGAAATTGCAGGGGAATGATCTATACACTAAAACTGCTTTATTTAGCTAAAATAATTTAGGTGACTATAGTGTTCCTTTAAGTTGCTTTAGACAGGAGCGAAGGAAGGATTCTGGGAACAATAGTGCTTTCAATATGTTATATTTGCTGCCGATCACATCTCTGCATCCTACCTTATAGACCTGTGTTCTATATATAAAATATTTTCGTTCTTAAAGGTTGTGCATTATCTCTTACTCAGCCCACATCAAAGCTTACTCTAGAGACCATACATTGTGATTTCATAACACTTTTATCTGGTTAAGGGGTTTTGTGGTTTCAACAGTAAGCATGAGTGATGATATTTTAAAACCTTGATGGATGACTTCATTATTAGAATGATTCAGTAATTGAGCTATGTGCATATCACTGTCTGTGCTAATATCTAAAGCAAAGCACAATATGGAATAATTTAGTTATCATCTAGTGTAATCACTCCTAGTAAGTTATATGTTAATTGTCTTTCTGCTTGCCAACCTTCTCAATTATAGCACAGTTGAATTTATGCAACATTAATGTGGTCAAATATATTAAAGAGTAAGATTTGATAGCTCATGAATGAAATATAAATCTATATACATCTATGCATGGATACACTGATCAGCCACAACATTAAAACCATCTGCCTAATATCATGTAGGTTCCCCTCGCTGCCAACACAGATCTAATATGTCGAGGCATGGACTCCACAAATCCTCAGAATGTGTCCTGTGGTTACTGGCACCAAGACATTAGCAGCAGATCCCACTAGTTGCAAGATGGGGCCTCCATGGATCTGATTTGTTGCTCCAGCACATCCTACAGATGCTCAATTGGTTTGCGATCCGGAACTTGGAAGCCAAGGCAAAACCTTAAACTTTAATTTTTCTCAAACCATTCCTGAACAATTTTTGCAGTGTAATATATATTCACTGACTGGGTGATCTACAGATCAGCATTTAATGTAATTAACTGTAATCAGTAATGTAGGTGAGAGGGTCTAGAGTGAGAGTTCAGTATTAAACGGAGACTCCTAACTGGAGGTGACTTATTCTCCCTTTACTGCATTATATGAACAATACATTGAAATTGCATGTGCAAAAAACAGTAAAAACAAACAAAAAACCAGCACATTTGAAGAACCTGTATTTGCGACAAATCCTAGGCTGTACAGGATCTGCCATGAGCCATCATCAAACTAGGAAGTGTTTCAGACAATCACGATTCTCGCTTAATTTTCTGTTTTGCACTGCTGTTTCTCTCCTTTAACCAATGCCTTATGGCACCACAAAGTCTTCTGGGAGTTGTACATCAATTATCTGCTTTCTGATGTAGAAAGCCAAGATCTGAATTTCAATTTTCAAAAAACATTGATTAACAGTCATGAGTAGTGTGGGCACAATTTGGGGGGTTAGTGGTTTAGGAAATGTGTCAATAATGATGATTTTTCAAGAGTTGGCTAAGAAAATTCTTGTTTGAGTTTATAGTGACTGCCAAGGCTAGTGGGATATTTTAGGATTAGTGGCTTATACCTGTTGTACTGAAAAGGTTATCTTTGCCAGCTGCCAATAAAATGGTGTTAAACTGATTTATAGTGTTATTATATGCAAAACGGATCAGTCCTATAAAACGCAAACAAACACAGACTCAGTAAAACCATATTTTGATTGGTTGGTTTGATTGAACCGCACACCAGATTGTGTCTTTTGTAAGAGGTTTAATATGTAGGGCTCTATGAATTCTGCCTCTGCTCAGACTGCAAATGTCTTTAAGACTTACATTTTTTGTGTGTGTCTGGTGACAGTTCACTTATTTTCTGCCAAACTCAATACATGCTGCCAGAGGGATTTTGTTTATGTTTTTTTCCTCCCCACCCCCAGTGTCTTTAAATAGAGAGCACTGTCTGAAGGAGAAGCATTCAAACTGGTATTTTAAATTGAATCCACATTACCGAGACTCCACCGGTGAACATGGATAAGCCTGCAGGCCTACTGTATGCAAATGAGATGTAAACAGCTGTACTAAAACTACCTATTTCTGACTCTTATGGCATAGTAAACCATTAATCTCCATCTTGAAAGACAGCATAGTAAATCGTTTTAATATAATAAATCATTTATTTATTTTATCCGTGAACATTCCATTCAATGTGGAGAGCTTTCTGACCAATAGGGTTCTTGGTTTGCTAGTGTTTAGAAAGAATTTAACCCCTTCCTCCCCCTTTAGCCCGGCGAGAGTGAGACCCTGAGGGTGGGGGGGACCCAAAGACCCTATAGTGCCAGGAAAACAAGTTTGTTTTCCTGGCACTATAGTGGTCCCTTAACTTAGCCAAGTCAATAGGAAAAGTATGGTATCAGCCCCTGTGAATTTCCTAGTGAAGGATGTGAGCAGATTCATATCTACTGTAGCCTCCAGTTCTTTAAGAAGTCCTGCCTCTTTAGGATAGCCTCCCACCTTCCTGGGTGACTTTGTCCTCCTCAGTTCCCTCACTTGCATAGCACAGTTCCCTCTCTCTTCTTCCACAAGCCACATTTACTAGCTTATGTTGACGAAGATATCTTGTCCAAAAAAAAAAGGTTGCCTGTATACTATCCCCAAATCTTCTATTTTAATGTGACAATTCTACTGCACTAGACCAATAGAAACATAGAATGTGACGGCAGATAAGAACCATTCGGCCCATCTAGTCTGCCCAGTTTTCTAAATATTTTCATTAGTCCCTGGCCTTATCTTATTGTTAGGATAGCCTTATGCCTCTCCCACGCATGCTTAAACTCCCTCACTAAGTTTACTTTTTTACCATTTCAGCTGGAAGGCTATTCCATGCATCCACTACCCTCTCAGTAAAGTAATACTTCCTGATATTATTTTTAAACCTTTGCAACTTTAATACAAGACTAATTTAGGTGCCTTGGATAGGAGAAAGGTAAGTTCAAATATGAGTGTTTGTTTGCCAAAATTTGTTTTACAGTTAACAAATATTGTATCTTTGACCGTTAAATTGGGATTTAGGCAAGTGGGCCTGGATCATGGCTTGTTTGGAAAGTATTTGTATCCTCTTGTCTGATCTTTTCTGGTCTTGTGTTTTTGCTCGTCAGTCTATTTTACTTTTCCCCCCTTTTAAATAAAGGGTTTACACATGGTAATAATTTTGCCAGGTTTGTGTAATTCATCTTGCCTCCTGAATGTGTAAGACAGCCAGAATGTGCAGAATAAGCAGAAATGTTAGTCGAATTGAATCAAAATATTCAGCTTCTTGTGATTTATGTCTCTAGAGACCGTAGTTCAAATCATTGCCAGAGAACGTTTTCTGCAAGTGAAAATCTATTTGTTTGATTATGATCCTTTTGGGATAGAAACACAAAATAAGCACTCATGTTGTCCAGAATTATGTATTTTATTATTATGCACCAAAGGTTCAGTCATGTTTGGCTTGCTTTGTGCATAGTGCAAGTTCTATTTTTGTTTTATGTTTCTATCGTATAGACAGGTCATTCTTTTAAAAGTGATAAATACCATCAACCTCAACTGCAACAATGGGGAAAAATTTTTTTTATTGAGGGGAAATTAATTTTGTGCAATGACACGTATGAAATCTGCCCAGTTACTTCAGCCAAGAGTGTCCTTTTAATAGCTATCTGCCCATCCAGTCGGCCTTATCTATATTGGTTCTTGATTTTGTATCATAATTCACCTAAACCATGGTGGGGGAACCCTACTGTTTATAGCTTGAAAAACAATTTGATTTTACTGTACTTAAAGCTTAAAAAACAATTTGACGAATCATGGATGTAGTAATTTTAATCTCTCTAATGCCTAACATCTAACCCATCTATATGAATTACAAATTTAATACCAACTTAGCCGATCTAAAAGCATAATTAGTCATTTATTTTGGGGCATATTATTACAATATTATGAGTGGGGGAAACTTAACAATAAATGAGACCATTACAAAATGTTATAGGAACAATACGTTGATGAGGACCCTGCTCAAATGAACTTACAGTCTAGAGGAGAAGGGGTAAAAAACACAAAAGGAAGGGCATCGAGGGGGGACAGCAACCAAACACCAAGATGGGAAAGTAGCAGAACTGTAAGGTGATGAAGTCATCTGTGAATCTTGGAATTGTGGGAGTATGAACTAATGAGAGAGGAAAACTATGATTGGTTAACAAGGGTTAAACGCAAGATGAATTTATAATGGAGAAGGTCTGACACGGTTCAAGTCTTCCTCCAACAGCATTTGGCTGAACCGGAGCATCTCTGCAGGTAGCAGATTAACTTAGTGTGCCATGGTTGGAGGCGCATCCTCGTTGAGGTGTATATTTGGAGTGGGGCTGCACCATCTAGGGCAAAGGTGAGGGTAGTGTTCTATCAGTAGATATCCAGAGAGGGACATGAGAAGGTTGGGATGGATGAGAGTTGAGAACAGACATCAGCTAAAAGTATCTGGAGGTCAAGAAAATTCTGGTTCCTCTTGAGTTGAGGAAGGTTAGGCTGAGAATGTTGGGTGAGGGGGCTCTCAAAAACGAATGATAAGAGGTGGTGATCTGAGGAAACGGAGTGTTACAGAGATTAGACACTGTGCATGCATCTGAAAAAATAAGGTCGAGGGTATTGCCAGATACATGAAAATGTTTCCAGTTTGGCTATACTGACCTTAATTTTGAAATTCACATTGAATTCTCACTTTGGTGAATTAACCTGCAGGTTTTGATCACGAACTGCTAAGATTTTGCCTTTATTCCATAACTATCCTGATCCCTGGCCATGACAATATCCTAAAAACAAGGCGATGGAAAAAAAAATTAACTGCCAAGTTGCCCTTTCTGGGTAAAAAAAATCTCACTGGGTTTCCTGTTTTAGGAAAAAAAAAAAGTAACATTTAAAGTTAACGTGTTAGCAGGCAGATGCTGCAAATAAAATGGCCATGTGGCAGAGTGCTGGGAATCTCAGGCTAATGTGTTACAAGGGGACATGACGAGTATAGTGAAATTGAATCCCTCCCATTTTATCACAGTTAAGCTTCTGTGGGTTATTTTTGTTACTAGTGAGCAGGACACGGTCACGGAAAGGTTCTACCTCCTCTCTCTAAGTCACAGTCTTGGTATTCTTAATAACAAAGTTATTGCCAATGCCACTTTTGGAATTTAACATAAGGAAGCAGGCCTAAATGAATATTGTTTGGTGTTGTAAAGGGAGAATGTGTGTGTGTTCGTTTGTGTGATGGCTTTGTTTTTTAATGCATTATATTCTATGTGCAGCTTTCCCCATGTGGTTGTGATATGTTGCTGTAGCGAGGACTGACATGCTGCTGTGCATATTTATGGGTAAGGGGGAGTATGCTGGTCTCGTTTCACATTGAGCTGGGCTGGTGACATGATGAGAGGATTCCAGTTATGTAAAATAATGACGTTTGATACACTGAATTTAAAGGGACACTCCAGTGCCAGGAAAACAAGTTGTTTTCCTGGGACTGCATGTCCCCTCTCCCTCCCACCCCCCATCCCATGTTGCTGAAGGGGTGAAAACCCCTTCAGTGATTTACCTGAGACCACCGCCGATGTCCCTCGGTGGTGGTTTAGGGTCCGTCCACGCTCCTCCCCCGCCGACGTTTGCTGGCTGGGGAGACTGATTGCACATGCGAGGCCACCGGCGGGATGAGACCGAATGCACGCACATTAGACCTCCCCGTATGAAAGCATTGAAAATGAAATATAGCGTGAGGACGTCCAGCGACGCTATAGGACAGAAAACCTGTGCTATAGACCAGGAAGTGCCCTCTAGTGGTTGTCTAGAAGAAACATGTTTGTGTTCCTGACCCTATAGTGATCCTTTAATTCTACTTTGTGGGATGTCCTCTAAACATTGAGGATTCTATTTTGTAATGATTGTAACCTTGTTTTGTGTAAATTAATTTTACCAGAATTTATTGAAGCATAGTGAATTAAAAAAAAATTTTTTTACAATGAAAACATAGACATTTTAAATATTAATTTAAACTTTTACGCTAAAAATAATGTGATATTCTTCAAATTATTATTTGTTTGTGATTATAATAATCATAACAAGGCACTGTGTAATTCTCCTGACTGACCCCTGCCAAATGTAAGTGTATAATATTATAATTTTCTCTTCTCCAATTGCCACAGTGATGGCTGATTAAGCAATGGAATGTGCTCAAATATATGATTAATAATATGGAAGTCCAGAAAGGGCAATGGGAGGAGGACATTTCTGACACAGAACACTGTGCTGCCTGTCACCACCAGTTTTAATAACCCCTACCACACATACTAACCATCTTTTTTTTACAGTGCCCAGTCACTGTAGAGCTGAGACCCAAGACACTCATGCTGTAGCTAGTTGAAACATTGTAAATATTCAAATTGCAGGACTGGGGCTGTGACTCAGAGGACTGATCTGTTTTGAATTTCAATGTGTTTTAATCTGTAAAGATTGTTGATTCTGTTAACCATGTCAGTTACTGCTGGGCCCCATATGCCAATGCAGCATAATTGTATTGCCAGCTGCAAAGGTAATAAGAAATCTATCAGTATCTTAATGCTTTAGCCATGTGCACACTATGTGCTGAGAGGTAATGGAGTAGCTGACATAACAGCAAAAAAAATAAAAAACTAGAAAGCCAAAGTTATCATAGCAGGAGCCCTATTGAAGATGAGATCATGAGAGGGAGAGCTATGAGAGGGCTAGGGTGATAGACAGAGAGAGAGAGATGGAGCATTATACAGAGACATGCACTGCGTGGGTATTGTGTGGGATAGTTGTGTTATCTCGTTATCTCGTGCCCAGCTCTGTGTGTTATTTCTTTGTATTTTACTCAGCTCTGTATATTGTATAGGTATCTCTGTAGTCTACTCAGCTCTGTATATTGTATAGGTATATTTGTATTATACCCAGCTCTGTGTATTAAATGTCTATTTTTTTTCTCAGCTGTGTTTGTGGCATGGTTATCTCTATTTTATAGACATCTTTCATATCTATAGATATGTTGTGCCCAGCTTGTTTTATTGTATGAGCATCTGTATTATGCTAAGCTCTCTGTATTGTATGAGCATCTCTGTACTCTATCGGGAGGAATACGACTCTGGGGGAGGAGTCTGGTGCCCCACCATTGTAAAACTTCACCAGCCGCCAATGATTGTGATATATAAATCTTTGCTTTAACATTTTTTTCTTTCTTAATAGGTCATCACACAATGAGCTAGAAAAACACAGGTGAGCTGTTTTGTACTAATTGGGTTCTTGTTTTAATTCTCAGCAGGTATTTTAGGATTAGGGAGTACCTGGCTTTGATGGGCTGTGCATGGTAACTCCCATGATTCCCAGCCAGGGGATTGCCCACATTAGTTTGAGGGCAGGTGCTCCCTGAGCTTAAATCCCATCCAGTAAGTTATGTATCTTCAGGATTCACAGTTCTGGAGGTGCTTTAATTCTATTTAAGTCATTATAGGGTCTATTTACCAATTGCTTTTAAACTCATAATAGGTCAAGGTTATGAAGATCAAGTTTGATTTTTTTTCTTTAATTGAGTTTGACTTTGAGCAGTTGCAGACCAGGTTGAATAGCTAACTGTGAGTAATCTTAATTACTTTCACTGACTGCATTTAAGAGATGTTATTTCTAAGAGATCAGTGACTTATCACCTCCCACTGATCAGACACGTATGATGGGATATAAAATTGGCATGTAGGTTCCATGCTGAAAACATATGCGGTGTGGTCAGCTATATGCCTCTCACTTCTTATAGCAGTCGTTTGATGTTATTACTGGCCTATTTTTACACATTCACTGCAAGATCTTATGAAGGCTTTAGTTATCACATTTGTTATCTTTCTCAATTTCTTCAAAGAGCGGTATTTTTAAGTAAGAGCTTTAAGCTGAAGCGTCTTGTCCAAAATAGTTCTCGGTACTAGATCTCTTTGATTCTGGCTCATTCCATGCCATGTGTGACTCGTCTGGCCTCTGCAGTAAATGCTGAAGGCTGTGTTTCTCTTTCTCAAAAAAATAAAATTAAAAAAAATACATTGATTTAGTGAGCATTATCGTGCCAGTTGACTTCCCCTTTTTGACTCTTAAGGGTTAGATGGAAACACTTAAAGGAACTCTATAGTGTTGGGAATATAAGCATGAATTCCTAACTCTATAGTCCTGGAGTGAGTTTTTAGGTTTCAGGCCTACTCAGATTGCTTACATTTTCTCCCTAACTGCGCTGGTCTTGCTCGGATGGCCCCACCTCCAAAAGGAAAGCATTGCAAGGTCCTTGTGCATGCATGGCAAAATGCAGCGCTGCACCAGTCAGCATCTTCTCATAGAGATGCATTGAATCTATGTGGTGCGTTCAGCATCTCTATGAGATAGGAAGCATCTTTAGTGGCCGTCTGAGTGACTAGGTGTTTCTCTGAAAAGGCAATGTTTACGTTGAAAAGTTTCCATGTACAGGCTATAGACACTGGAACCACTACAGCTGTAGGGGTTCTGGTGACTATAGTGTCCCGTTAAATAAAAAGAAAAAAAAGGAATGCTATAAATTTAAACATTTTGTAATGTGTCCCCTTGGATATGTGCTGGTTCACTGCACGTCACAAAAGCTAAAATAGCTACTGTTTGTAGATTATTTGTAAACTTCTTCCATGTTCTTGTGGAAACGTTCTGGTATTTACTAGATTTAGACTTGTAAAGAAGTTTGTGATCTTTGTGACTGCTATTTGAAACTAAACTTAACGTACACCGTCTGCCTTTACATGATCCCATGACTGGCTGTATGCACTCATGTACTGAATGTGGCTGACGTGGACCCATAATGTTAAATAATTTACAGTAATGAGACCTGATTATAAATTTTATTCTAAAATTCAAGAATTGCTTGCTGATGGAATAGTTCTGTTTATAATTGAACCAATATGGTACTCATTCTGTTTTACTTTAAAACTAATATACTTTTTTAATTCTATACACAATGCTGTCAATTAAGGTCCACTGTTCGAAAATGCACAGAGGAGCACAAAAACAAGCATGAGAATTGCACTCGTAAAAAAAAAAATAAAAAAAAATCTCTATGTCAAAAATACAAATTTTACCAATCCATCACTGATAAGAGATATTCTCACAAATGTCACAAAGAAAAAGCAGTTCTATGTGGAGGAGTTGCTAAAATACCCTCATAGGGTTTCCCTGAAGACAATAGTGGTTTTTTTTTTAAGAGCCGATAACACAGAGTGCCCAAAAATGTGCAATAATGCAGGAAATCAGACATGAGTCAGATTTTTTGCCAACCCTGCATACCTGCTTTTTTATTTTCAATAGTTGAACTGGTAAAAGTGTTATTTATTGTTAAATCCACTTATTGCAATTCATAAACGACAGACATAATGCAAATAATCTAAAAATTCTTCTGTATTTTTTGTTTTCCAGGCGAGCAAAACTACGACTATACTTGGAGCAGCTTAAACAACTAGTGCCACTTGGGCCAGATAGCAACAGACATACCACTTTAAGCCTCTTAAAAAGAGCAAAAATGCACATCAAGGTAAGTTCTGTACTCCGTACTATCAAATGTCCATATTTGTTTTTTTTCCATATTCTTATGTAATTTAAAAAGTAATTGATATTGTATTTTGTGTTCTGCACATTTTAAATTCTCTAGAGATGTTGGTCACCAATGATACATAAATAGAACCCAGTGTACAGGGCTTGCTTTTTAGCATGCTACACACATTAGTTATTTTGCACATTCATTAATTTTTATTTTCTGTTGATTCTTTTAACTTTTTTATTTTATTTGTTTAGAAACTAGAAGAACAGGACCGAAAAGCACTTAATATTAAGGAGCAGCTTCAGAGAGAACATCGCTACCTCAAGTGCCGTTTAGAGCAGTTGTCTGTCCATGGGATGGAGCGAATGCGGACAGATAGTATGGGCTCCATCATGTCTACTGACTCGGAGCAAGGTGAGAAAGATGTGTGCATTCTCCAGGGTCTAGAAATATTACACTCTCTCTCTGGAGAAGTGTATCTGTATTTTACTTTCTTTTCTTTTTTTTTAAATTTTCTTTATCCTTTGTAACCCACCACTGTCATTGTTGGAGGCATTAACATGCATCTTAAGGGCAATTTGTTAATTTCATGAAAGCATTTTGCAATGAGTATAAATTGGAAGATGATACGTTTGGTTTTTGAGAGGTTACTTGTAGGTTGCTGTGAGGCATTCCATGAAGAGACGGGACATGTGCTGTTGTAATGTTAGATGGGAGAACGGATCAAAGATAAGGAGAGTGAAGATCCAAGTTAGGGATTATCAGCCGAAAACCTTGCCTTGCAATTACTGTGGTTGCAACAGCACCACTCTGGGTCAAAACTCTTTTTTACAGGCATGGTCAAGCCAGATGCAGCTGTTTCCATTCTCTGCTTGGTTCTGGGTAAGACTCTATCTTGCAAATATTGGGCTTGTTTCCATGCTTTTCTAAATTATTTAGCGACAAATTTGTAAGTGCTAAAATGACTCTCACTACAGATTGCAATTTCAAGCTGTTTTGATGTTCATTTTTAATGGCTAGTAATTAACAGCTACTGAAGGATTTCACATCTTCCATAGAAATTAATAGGCAGTTTTAACTGCTGCTCTATTTATTAGATGCTAAAAATTACCACCAAGATGCATTCAGTTACTAACTCACTCAACTTTACACCGGCTTCAGCTAGCTCCAATGTGGAAAAGCTATGTTGCCAATCACAATTTCATAATGTAGCCTGTAGAGGAAAAAAAACACGAGTCTATTCTGTTTAAGTGTATTTCCATACACCTAACTTACACACCAATCTATACGTACAGCGTGTGCAAGTTAGGTGTATGGAAATACTAAAGGCAACTTGCTCAGATGATCGTAAGTAAAAACTGTCAACCGAGACAGAATGAACTCCAACATCATCATGATTCTCCTTGAAGAGCCGCCTGATTGGCAAAATGATTGTCTCCCTGCTGGTCTCTATAGTTTGGAACACACTTTTTTTTTTGGGTGAATCTCATGATTGTTTTTTTTATTTTTTTCAGCACATTTGGATTTGAATTATTACTTTTTTGTCTATCTCTCTTATATATTTAGGCAGTTTGTCATGTAGGGAAATCTTAAAGGACCACTCTAGGCACCCAGACCACTTCAGCTTAATGAAGTGGTCTGGGTGCCAGGTCCAACTAGGGTTAACCCATTTTTTTTATAAACATAGCAGTTTCAGAGAAACTGCTATGGTTATAAATGGGTTAATCCAGCCTCTAAAGCCTCTAGCGACTGTCTCATTGACAGCCGCTAGAGGCGCTTGCGTGATTCTCACTGTGAAAATCACAGTGAGAGCACGCAAGCGTCCATAGGAAAGCATTGTAAATGCTTTCCTATGCGACCGGCTGAATGCGCACAGCTCTTGCCGCGCGTGCGCATTCAGCCGAATGGGCGGAGAGGAGGAGGATCGGAAGAGGAGAGCTCCCCGCCCAGTGCTGGAAAAAGGTAAGTTTTTACCCCTTTCCCCTTTCCAGAGCCGGGCGGGAGGGGAACCCTGAGGGTGGGGACCCCCTCAGGGCACTATAGTGCCAGGAAAACGAGTATGTTTTCCTGGCACTATAGTGGTCCTTTAATTAGTGCAGTCTAAATGTAACACTAGTTTAGCCACAGTATAGGTTTCCCTCAAGGGCACAAACAGGTACGAATAGCTAGAGACTTATCTCCTAGGACTCTTTCTATACCTGTTTTTCTAAGTTTTCTAGCTTATCTACCTTTCTAACAAAATAATTTTTCTTCTATGTTTTTGGCATCTAAATGAACTGATGTGAGAAGAGATTTATAATACACTTATATAATACAGTACTGCTCCATTTTTCTTTTTCTAGTCATGGTGATTCTGTTTTGTTTTGTGGATTTGCTCCATGTTTTTATAGAAAGGAGTATTACATGATATAATAGTATTTAATCCATGTGTTTTTTTCCTTTTTTTTTTTCCTCTAGAAGTAGACATTGAAAGCATGGAGTTTACACCAGGGGAAATGGACAGTATCGGAAGTGCCAGTGATGTGGAAGACCACTACAGTTTGCAAAGTGGCTCCAGTGATGGGAGTTTTACACATTCCCTGAGACTCAATTCCAGGTTGTCATAGTGGTCAAAATACTGAACCAACTCAGGACCATCCAGCTGAAGGCACTTAAGAGAAAACAAATGAATACAAAAAAACTTAAAAAAAAAAAAAGAATACCAAGTCACAAATATGCCAACCTCCGCTCAGCTTGATTCTCAATTTAAAAAAATGAACTCCTGTCATTGTTTGTCCCCTCAAAGACACCAACTCGGGCTGCACTTTGACAATGAGGGGACAATATGAAATCAAAGTTTTAAAATTATTTACAGAAGAAGGTTAAAACGCAATGAAACCCATTTTGTTTTAAGCATATCATTCCATTATTAAGTATTACATGGAAACACAGGAAAGTGCAAGTCAGATATCTTTCATTATCCAACAACAGGTTAGTTTTGAAAATGAAGAAGAATTTATACGCCGGGCAATTTTCATAGTAAATAACCCTAATTTTTTTTTTTTTTTTTGTGAACAGATAAAGTGCTGAATTTGGGAACGTCTATATTTTTTAGCATTATGTTCTGGGGAGAGAAGGAGAGAAATATTGTAGGATTTTTTTTATATCTGAAGTTGATCTTCGGTAGGAGAGCTCAAAAAAGTCTGTACTGTACAAGGGTTTGGGATAAAGGCCTACTCTATATATGACTTCAAATGACAGCATGGTCTCCTCCTTTTGCACTGAATTTTTCACTTGTAATTGGCCAGAGATACATCGCTGTATAATGCTTTATTGGTTACTCCTGCTGAACAGCAGCTTCTACATTATGCTGAATAACATTACACACTTTCAAACTTCACTAAAAAGTTTCTTTGATGAAGGAACAAAGTATAACATATATTTGATGAAAACTAGCATTAAAAAATGTAATGATATTTAGGGATACCCTCAAGAGTTCTAAACCATTACATTCACAGAATGCAAAGGTTTACATTTATAATTCCTTTGCAGGAAAAGCGTGTTGGGCTCCATACAATGCGAGACATTTATGTGATCACTTGTCTTGCCATCTTTCTGACAGGTTCAGAAATAATACAGGACTCGAATTTAACCACATATGCATGACTTTAGCCCAGAAGCTGTATTTACTTTGTGTATGATGCTGGCATACTTTATTTTTTTATTGTATTGTGCCGCAGTTTTGGGAATCTGCATTCCCTAAGCACCAGCAGGTTAATATAATTACCCGGGAGCAAGGTATTCAAGCACAAATTTTATATTTCCATTGTCACACCTACAGTATGTTTTAAAATTGATATTGTGATCAATTGTTGTAAAATTGATCCAGGGATCAGTTTCAAGGCAAATAAATACATAGAACCTACAGTAAATCTAATGGTAGTAATCATAACTGGCACTCCCATATTTCTGCAAAGGACAAATAAGTATTTTTATATCTGTAAATGTACCTTTACAGTTGCCTAGAAATTCGTTTAAATGTTATTTTATTAATACAGTGAAGGATACAAACATAAATAATAACATAAACATGTAACCACTCTTATATACAAGTGAACTGTTGAGCATACTACGCTGCTTGGATATATTAACTATCGATTAATTGACAAAACATTCTTGATTGACTCTCATGGGTATAAGAACCTATGATAGATTTCATATAAGTAATGCTTCCTAAATCGTAAAGTGTGTATTGTCAGTCTGCATAATTATGTAATGTAGTTCATATGAGAGCGTTATATGTCTGTGCCTTGTAATATATATATTTTGTTTTTGACATTTTGTAGAAAACCCAAATTTTCTCAAACACTGTGTGGATTAGGGATAGACTTTGCAGTACCTTCTGGGAGGATATAGCTTGTTCAAGCCTGCTCTCTACTAACAAGTGGCAACCTCGGGTACTGTGGACTACAACCTTCTCTCTGAGCCTCGTCATACCTGGGAACTTACTGTGCTCTACCTGGAATTTGGGTACCTCCATATTAAACGCCACAATGATGTGTCTCTCTACCTACTTCCTTCATCACTCATCCTTAGAATGTAACATTTCAGCTTTACTGAAATGAGTTGCTCCAAACCCATTCCCCATTTTGTAAGAGGAACTTCAAACAAAGTAAATATGACAATTCCCAGGTATGAACAAAGTGGCGGTTCTAGACCACAGCAGCTGTTGGGTTTATTGTCTGCCTTAGATTCTCCTTGTCAACATGAATGCTCTGACTCTGCCATAGTGAACTAATAGCAGGGCCTGTTTTGGCAAAATCTCTTCTCACTTTCAACATAAGTAAGATGAGTCTGCCATTTTGCTTGTTTTTGGTTTTAGTCTTGTAACGCTACCACTGCATCTTATTGAAGGCATGGCTTCCAGCATATTTCATTGTGTTTCCTCGGCACACTAGAAAAATATACATTTTAACGTCTAGAATGAAAAACAAAAAAACAAAAAAAGTAGGAAAAAAAAATTGATGCTGTGAAACGGCACTGTTTATTTTGTATACTTTAAATCTGTATCTATGACAGTTGTAGCAATACTATGAAGTTGTAGTTTAGTTTTTATGTATAACAGCCTCTTTTCTCTTGTGAAGTCTGTTAGAGCAAGGCTCTATGGTGAAATGGTCTGTCACCTTTACAGTGTGAATGTAGCATATATAAACCATGATCAATGCAATAGGTGCTATGGACAGAGAGCATTCGAGGTGCAACACACAAAACTGATAGAATGTTCGTGCTACTTGCTCTTCTTTGATCAATTTGCCCTAGAGATGCTCTTTGTACATAACCCCTGTTATACTAACAAAATGTTACTGAGCCCTCTTTGTGAAGTCACAACACAGCCCATTCTGCAAATTGTGATAACTGATTTGCATATGAGGGTCACAGGATGTGTCACAAAGTGTATGGTTAGCACATGTAAACATTTTTCGTCTGCTTTCAATTCTGCTAGTTTATAAATAATGTTTTTTAATGGTCTTCATATCTATGTGAAACACTGTTAAGGAGACAGTTGTTTAAGGGGAATGCAATTACTTGCATTCAATCTGTTGCCAGAATTGCCTTTTGACACATTCTTAGCTTATTCTATTAAAAGGGGCCTGTGATCGGGCTCTATAGCATAGAATGGTTAAAAGTATTTGTTGAAACAAACAAAAATGAAAATAGAAGCTAAGGCACTTTTCTAATAAGTGGATTTAGCAGGTATGATCTATATTTCCTGTAAAAGATTTTGTATTATATTTTTCCTAAATGTTCTAATTTTATTGGGGGGCAGGCAGGGAAGGGTCATGCAGGGTATGGAATGGATCCAAACAAGAGTCTCAGGGACTCTCCTTTTTTTTTCTTTCCTTTCTTTTTTTTTTCTCATCATATTGTGCCTTGGTATCCATTTTCGTATGCCTCTCAAATTGTATTTTTGTATATTTCTGTCAGACCTTTTCCGACTGTGTATTTATATTGGGCCGTAGTTTTACCTTTTCTTTTGCCAGTCGTAACATAATGTCCCACAAGAGAAATTCACATCACAGTTTCTCTTTTACTTGCTAGTTGTCCTGAAAAGGTTCTTTTCAGAGTACTGGTTGCCAAAAGTCACTAAGAGTCAAAGAATTGGAAAAAATGAAGGGTTGGTCAAATTTGACAACTGGAGAACTTTTCAAGTTATAGTAAAGGCATATTGGAGTGACCTGTTTTAGTTCAGAATCCACAATTCACTCTGTAACATAAGGGTTGTGTTATTGGTTGACATTACTGAGGTGTTGTTTCACTGCCAGTCCCAATAAGTCAGATATGGGCAAACTGTACCTGTATGGCGAACAGCTTGCATTCTCATAATGGATTGTGGATCACCTATGGTCACCTATTTCATTGTAGATGCTCTAATTTTCAGGTGCCTGGTATTTAATATTTTAAATATTCCAACTTAGTAAGGTGCCACATTTTGGGCTAGTCCATAGAACTCCCTAGTGTTTTTGTTGGTTAAAGTGTAACACGTCCAAATCCGCTACCAAATGGTATCTTCCCATACATCTGCTTTGTGATGATTAGAGGTTTGAAGTTGTAGCCCTGTATGTCATCGTTGTACAGTTTGATGAGCTCGACTATAAGCAACCACGCTGCCAATGGAAAAGCAGTGGAATAAAGTCCATTCTTAGAATTCATTAGCACTGCCACTTAAAAAATAAAACAAGTATGTGACTAGGATAAGAAGCAAAACTATAAAGCCCAAGAAAATAGCACAATTATGTTTTTGTAAAAAGAGAAGAAAAAAGAATTGTGTATGTATCTGCAAAAATGTAGTTAAAATGTATTCAGATAATTTGTTGAATGCTACACAATGCACAGTGTAGCTTGATCCTTGTTTAAAACAATGACACAGATTAACCTTTTCAGCATTTCATATCTGGTATTTGTGTGATATCTCAGAAACCCAGTGCTAAGTATGGAAAAATTGACTATATTTATATGGCAGCTCAAGATCATTTGCACTTTCATGAGCTTTGACCTTGCCAACAGCAGAAGAAAAACCTACACCTTTACTTGTATATCGACATTAATATAGAATTGTGTATTTTTTTTTTTTTTTGTTTTGTTTTCTTCTATACTAGTGTTTCAGTCACATGACCTTGTTTGTGATTCACCTCCAAGCTATCTAAAAGGGGTGTGAAGTCCCTACATTGGCAGCTGACCAATCTCATTTTTAGTGATTGTGCTAAAGGGATTGGTAATCTCCTTTTTTTTTTTTATAAGGTCCTGGTGTTTATGTTAAAACATCTTGCTTATTATTATAAGTACCTCTTTAAAGGGGAATTGAGCAATATTTGATTGTGTCTAAGCAGAAATCACTAGTTCGGCTTTGGTGCTCAATGTTCATATTTGATAACTGGTGCAATTTGGCAGTGATTGCTAAGCTTTACACTACTGATGTTCTCGATTTACATTTTCCGTAAAGGCTGGCTATGCATCATGGGGAATGTAGTCCACAAACATCCACCGTGCCAAGATTAGCCGTCACTAGACCGTATCGAGCGAGATAGACGGCTTTACTCATTATCCGTGTAACATGCAGAAACTTGATGAACATTTTTTTTATCGTTTTATTCAGTTTAAAAACAGATCTTGTACAAAAATCATCTGAAAATGGTCTGAACATTCACTAGGAATTTCAATTTCTAAATAAATCAAATTATTGCACTATTGCAAGTGAAAATGTATTCATTTTTATGGGTAAAAAATACACGTTTTAAGTTCTTCCAGGGAATGTAACTGCATATTCTGCATTTCATGCTTTACTAGAAAAAAAAGAATAGGTGAACTTATTACGGAGAAGCCTTTAAAAAAAATAAAAAAAAAATAAATTAAATAAACAGTACGCAAAACATTCCATTTGTGATAGCACCATACTTACACTTCATACATCTACATTTCTATGCAAGTTACAGAGATTTTTTACTGCCCGTATATATGTATGGATCAAGTTTGCTGACATAATCATTACAAATTAGCATAGACTTTGTGGGATCAATTAAGCAACTGTATCCAGGGGAAGGGCTGTAGTCCTGCCGATTGATATTGTTTTTCCACCAAGAAACAGTGTACTTTTTAACTTCGTACCAGCTCTCTGAGAAAATAGTTCTAAAACCCCCAATTCATAGTGTGCCTCTCAGTCACTAAAATGCTCAATAGCAGTGTTAGTCTGTGACAGCTATCAGTTAAAAAAAATAAGGTACTGTTAACTTTTAGTTATTGTCAGACGGATATGTAAAATCGTTCCATCTTGTATTGTTAATGTCAATTTCTTATTGTGTTGTAACATTTTGTCATACTTATCACAGATATTTCAGCTGTAAACATAGAACTTACTGTTTTTGTTACTGGTTTTTGCAAATTATATTTTACTGCAGCTTTGTGACACAAAATGTTTCTAATCCGTATTTTCATGTTTATTCCACCAAAGGTCATATAGGTAATAATCCTTTATGGGTTTTATGCATTTAACTAGGAAACGTGGTTTAACGAGGGAATTGCTAATTCAACGCAAAAATGTGGAATTGTAGTTTCTGTGCAATGTTTTGCAAAGGCGCCAAATCAGGTTTACGTAGGTCCCCGTCCACACCTTAGGAGCCATTATATAATTTAGGAAATGTCTATATTTAACCATAATAAATGACATCTAATAAAACAAAAAAAAATCACTACCATTTAGAGATAAGTGTTGCATACTTATCCTATTTAACGTGTCGTAATTTTAATTTAGTAACACAGAATAGAAAATCTGTAGTAGAGCGGATCATTAGACTTTTAGTACATTGATTTCTGCAGAGCATATGGGCTCCCACTGTATGCTGACATTTTCATAAGACTGTCTTGTGACAGGTTCAACCTCACCAGTAATAGCTACTGATACATATCACCGAAACAGTGATCACTACTGCAAAGACGAAAATACAGAAACCTCTCCAGTTGTTGTCATATAACATATAGCAATAGTATTAAGTGTATGTTCCCCAACACGTTACTTGAATTGAGTGTACCCATCAAATAATAGGATTGCAATATTCACCTTGTGTCTTCTTGCCGTGGTATAGTCACTGCTCAGTTTTTAGTGTAGAAAACTAGCTCACGTGTCAAGCAGTATTTAAATGTGGCTTTGGTTAGTAACTTTCCAGAAAGTGATGTTGCTGTATATATATATCCGACCTGGTCTCTAGTGCCCCTTGTCAGAACCTGATAGGACAATGGACTCCCAGATGGGTTCTTGACCAATCTATGTGTATGATGCAAAAAGTAATTCACAAACATCAGGGAGTCCAAGTTAGCCATCAGAAATAAACTTGTAGCCTTGTCAAATGCTTTTTGATGTTTCATTTGGTTGTAGAGCCTTGCCCCCAGTTATTACCTTAATGAACATTCTTTGATTACTGAGTTGGCCGTTTGTCAGTGAATTTGGACCTCAATTAATAAAGGGAACATTTTGTGGCCAAACTGTACAGTGCATTAATTCTAAGTGTATATATTTTTGTATACACATTGTTTTTTATATGCCAAATACAACATGATTTCTCTCATAGAAATATCAGAATGGCATTGACTTTTATATTTGTAACATCAGTATCTCTCTTGATTTTGCTGTAGCTCTTTGTTTTATGTTGAGGCGATTGCAGTACATTATGATTTACCTGCTCTACCAATGATATCTGTCTTCCTATATCAAACTAGCTACTTATCCAAATATACATTTTGCAAGTGTAGCTACTTCCTCATATTTTCCTTTTGTGTTTGCAATTCGTTTACTAATGTGCAGAGACATTTTGTTTTGGTCCATTGGTGATTTACACTACCAGTGGTCCATATCCTTTCAACCAACATTAGTAACCGTTTAAGAAAAACAAAATGATCATGTCTGCTACACTAAAACTCCCACTGTTTTTTTTAGCCATTACAATACTGATTTTTCAGTTTATGAACCCACCAGATTAGACACATGTAGACATTAAAAACCTCCACCAGACCTTCTAAGACTCAAGTAAAATGTAAAGGATATGGCTATTCTGCATATAAAACATGGATAACACCCAGGGGTGAAAGTCGAGTTTACACATTGTTTTTTTTTGTAAAATACAATCATCGCCTCAACTGCAAGGCAAACAAAATAATTGTTTTACAAAAGTTCCAATAAATGTACACTACGGGAACAGAATTACAGAGCATATATAATATAAAATTCCCTATTTTCCTTTTTTATGACAGAAAAACATCAATTTTATATTTTTAAATATATGAAAGTGATATATTCATGTAGAAAATACTGTTATTTTTCAACCACTGAGAAGACCGGATTTAGCTCGAAGGCAGACAGATGAAAATTGTCTGGTTATAAATGAATGTATACAGCACTGCATCCTTTTCAGCCAAGAATGGTTGATATTGTATGTTTTACATAACTGTTAAACTATTACAGGAAAATTACACCCAAAATGCGAGTTAGTATAAGAATTATGAGTAGTATCTCCTGGTACCTGTTATTTTGTTGTGCGGATGGTGTTGCAATCCTCTTTAAGTTATAAATTAACAAAACCAGTCTGATTTTCCAAATTGTTTTTCTCTACACAATTCACAATTTGTTAAAATAAATCCTAAATATTAATGATATTAGTTGCCCCCAATATATCGCTTTACAATGTTGCTGTCAAAGTGGCTGTTGTTTGTAGCCTTATCTTGATCGTGACTAGTTGAGAATTGCCACCACGTACATAAATAGTGCCAGGACAAACTATGGGATTTTTCACATTGCCTCATGGGCTATTCAGATTAACTTGTACCTTGACAGAGGAGTACTCAACAAACTCCATATTCACTTTCTTTCTATGAGTTGCTAGAGTTGACTTAAAGGGACACCCTATGCACTATAACCATTTTAGCTTATTGAAGTGGTAATCGTGCCTGGAGTTCTCTGGCACCGTCATATTATTCTTTTGTAAATGTTTAATTAGCACAATCTACAGACTAAAAACAATGTAATTATGTGAAACTAACATTATGCATGCCAGATTCTCTGTAATGTTAATTTTGATTCTGCCAATCAAGGAACTATGTGATTAAGTATGCTAAGAGGCAAAAAGAGACATGAAGGTGATCTAGGGTCAAAATGTTGCCAGATTACTTTTATGGTGACTGATTGAAACTCATCAAATATATTTTTACATTTTGATTTTGTTTCATTTGGCCCTTTTATGAAAATCACAGACTTATTAATTTAGTATCACGTTGGTTTTGGGTCTAATTTTCAATGTAAAAACATTAATAGTCCCCAAAATATCTGGGACTCCTTCTGATGACAAACGGTGACCGTCATAGCTGGTGAATATGTAGAACTGCACTGGGCGGGTTCTGTGCCAGAAATAAAATGGATAAATAAATAAATATATATGATATGAAAAAAAATGCTTTATAGCTTTTAAAATGTATAATATTGTAAAATTTCATTTTGAACACACGTACATGGTGCTTGCTACAGTTTGTAGCACACTGACGGTATTGTGCTGTATCACCCTTTCATTGTAATATAAATACAATTTTTTATATATCGGTGGTTTGTGTGCTTTTTTTGTTTTGTTTTGTTATTGTTTTCATTGTATTTATTATGTTTCCAATCCCAGATTATGACACTGGGAAGATTATTTCTCAAACAACGAGTGACGTAGGAATAACAATTATTTTGCAAAGTACTAGATGTGGAGCAATCAGCTTGGAAACAAGTGGAATATGTCTGTAGATTGCTCCAATATTAAAGCATTGCTCGGGAGTTGCTCTTTATACATAACGCACAAAGTTTCTATTGAGGATAACACGGCTCAAAATATTCACTTTAAATCCCCAGTAATTCTCACTCTAGTGAATAACCCTGTATAACGTTCCAAGCCATGTCTTGGTTTATGTGGGTTACACACTTACCAATATGTTCACCTCTTTGGGATCATCCATCTTCAACACGTTTGCTTGATGTGTCATTAGAACAATTTCATGATCACTCGATTGAGATCATCTGTGGAGCAGTTTCACACCTATTTACTCCTTAACCCCTTAAGGACCAAACTTCTGGAATAAAAGGGAATCATGACATGTCACACATGTCATGTGTCCTTAAGGGGTTAAAGGCAGATTATCAGAGAACAACATATACCGTGAGAGGGCTTTCTTTGAGAAAAACCCAGGCAACACATTAAGGTTCATGAACTAAACACCAAATTGACATGGATTAAAAATTTAATTGCAACATTTAGGATACAATTATATAAATTCACCAGTGTTTAGTTATTGTGTAATTGTATAGACTTTCGATTCCTCCAACATTTAAATTCTGTTAAATACCTGTCACAATGTAAACTTAGTATCATATACACACACACATATATATATATATATATATAGAGAGAGAGAGAGAGAGAGAGAGAGAGAAGATTATTAAATGCTTTAGAACCTGCCTATTTTTTATTTTTCCTTTGTGTTCTGCATTTTACGTTTTTTTATTGGGGTGTGGAGGCTGTTGAAATACCAAGTACCCAATCACAATGCATTGTTGAGTTATTATTATTGCTATTTATGTAGCGCCAACTAAATCCGCAGCGCTTTACTATATTATGAAAGGGGGGACATTTACAATAACTCAGACAATCACACAGTGACACAGGGTTGCACTAAAGAGAGCATGTTCTTGCTTAGGTATAGTAAAAACTAGACTTGTGCACAGTGTACATTTTTGTTTTATCCAAACGAATTGGGACAAAACTATGGAAATCCCACATAAGGATATCAAATTAAAAGAATCAACAAATCACGCATGGAAGAATTTAGTTCATCGCGTGATTAGTTAATTAGTTCATTTTATGACTCGATTTATCTGAATTGCGATTCTTTCGAAAATGAATGACCAAGACTAGTAAGCACCACCTTCAAATATTAATTGTTTGATGTATCCAGACAATTGGTATTAATACATGCTAAGTAAGTTTGTTGAAACCACTTTCCACCTTTTCTTTTGTTACAGTGAGCCAAGTTCTGTTTAGGAATCAAACCATGATTTCATATGGCTAGTGAGCTTGACGTGGAATTCTGCCCGTGAAAAGAAATAAAATAAGGATATTATAATTAAACACATGGGACTATGCTATGCTCATGTTGCTAAACGGCAGCCGATGGCAGATGGCTTGTCAGTAGAGGCAGTTTGAGTACAATGTTTTACAAAGAACTGTAATGCCTTTATCCCTCTGGAGATCTTCCATACTCTGCCTGAGTCTCAGCCAGCCAAATACAGTCAAATAAACCAACAGATTAAATGGACTGCATCCCATTTGGCAAGAAAAATGTATAGAAGAGAACAAAAATCTCTGTTTATTTAGATGACCAGAAATACATTTATGAGTTGTACTCATTACTTCATTAACCAGCTTTAAACATACTTATTGTGACCACTTCGAGGTAGATAACAGACAGATGGTTGTCGTGTGCATGCTCACAGTCTATGTGTTGGGGATGTGAAAACATACATTGTAGCCAAAGCAAAAGTAAAACTGCATTAATGCCATACTGTTACCTTTAGCAGTGTAAAACGACACTTAAAGGAACACACTTTTTAGTAAAGTAGAAAAATTGCCAATGTTAGGACATTATCCTCTTTGCAGCCGCTCCACCACCGATTAAGTCATTAGCTATGATGACTTTTGGCCAATTGCTTCTCATAGAGACTCAGCCAATCAAAAGCTTTTCATATAATTACACTGAATCCAGTGTCTCTTTATTGGACGAGTCCGGTGCCATGATGATGAAGACCTTTGATTTTCAAAAGTCATAGGGAAGAATAGCGTCTAGTGGCTGTCAGTCTAACAATCACTAAAGGCATGGTTTCAGACAAATGTAAACATGTTCTGAAAAACACATTTATACATTTATTTCACAGGAGGTCTAAACAACATTCATTCTGATATAGCTACTTGTTTTCCAGTACACAGCACTGAAGCATCCAGTGTCCTTTCCCCGTTGTAAGAAGGTGGATACTTCTTTCACCACTTACATTTCGAGCTACTGTGCCCACTTCCTCAAAATAGGTTTTCCTTTTTGAGAACTACATGTAGAGCTGATAGTGCCATATCTACTGTAGCCATAAAGAGACAATTTATTTAGATGATTTAGGTAGATTAATAGTTTAGAAAACACTTTGATGTGACTATATCTCAGTTGTGCAGTGCAGTTAGCAGGACCAGGCCCGGACTGGCCACCGGGCACACGGGGCAAATGCCCGGTGGGCCGCGGTGGCCATGGGCCGAGGCCGGCAGGGGAGATCACAGGATCTCCTGTGCCGGTCTATGCAGGGCCGGCACTAACCGAGCGCTGGCCCTACTGCATTCCATGACGGGCCGTTGGGGAGATCAAAGATCTCACCGGCCCACATGCAGTTTATTGGGGCCGCTGGCGGGAGAGAGAGGGAGCTTCCTGAGTAAGTCTGAACTAACACGTGACCGCAAGTCCGATGTACGCAAGGAGACGCATGAACGCATGTCTATTCGCGGAATTATGACGAACCCGGAAGAGATTATTGTCAATTCTGCAAACGACACCAAAATGGATTTAAAAGGGAGGATGATAGGAACACTCAATACAGAACCACTTTTGAGAAAGGCAACCAGCCGAAACGCGTTAAGTGGAGGTGGACTATATTAAATTTATTTTGTAAGGTATCTGTTTTTTACTGTGTGTTAAATAAAGCGTATGGAGCAGTTTTTAACCTGAATCTGATATCTGGAATCTGTTTGGTGCTGTAACCCAGTATTCAGATCCTTACTAAGAAACCACCATTTCTTCAGCATAATCACTTTTAGTCTGAGGCTGCTTGTGGAGTGGCTCAGAACCATGTGAGTGGATTCTATTTGTTCTACACATAAGATTTGTTTTAACTATATTACCCTATATGCATTTTAAAAAAAGATCTATTTATGGATCCATCTATTTTTTATCCCATTTGTGGTAATATTTCTAGATTTTATTGAGTGCTCTCACTGCCATTTATTGCATTTTTTGCTTCTTTGTTTGTAAAAGACATAAGCATGCACAAAGATTCTGATGCATAAGTGTGTGTGTATGTGTGTGTATCTGTAAGTGTGTGTGTCGGTCAGTGAGTGTGTGCGTCTGTCAGTGAGTGTGTGCGTCTGTCAGTGAGAGTGTGCGTCTGTCAATTAATCTGTCAGTGAGTGTGAGTCTGTCAGTGTGTGTCCGAGTAATAGTGTGTGTCTGTCTATCAGTGTGTCAAATCAGTAAGTGTGTGTGTGTCATTGTTTGTCAGTGTATATGAGAGTGTGTGTGTGTGTGTGTGCGCATGCATCTATCAGTGAGTGTGTGCGTCTGTCAGTGAGTGAGCGTCTGCCAGTCAAAGTGCGGCCTTGACAGGAAGGGGTGGGGAAAATTTAAATTAGGTGAGGGGGGGGGGGGAAGGGCCCGAGCACTGTCCTGCCTAGGGCAGCACAAATCCAAAATACACCACTGGCTGAGAGGCATGCCCAACAATGCAATCTGACTAAGTTTATAGTCGTTCATTAGATACTTTTCACTGTTTTTCTTGATTTATTTTGGCTTTAATATTTATTTAAATGTAAGAAAAAAAGGAAGAAATAAGGGTGTGCCTTAAAACAAGTGAAATAATACTTATAAAAATACTGGAGAGTACAAGCAGCGATACCTAATAGTCCAAAGTAATCCACATTCACAGGTAATAGAAAACAGACCTGACATATAGCACTTATATAAGAAACATATGATTACAGAGACAAATTGAAAATCCCGCCAAAATGATGTCATCAGCGTCATAGGTGGGGATACAATATATTAAAATATAAAAAAACATAAAAAAATCGTCATGGGAGTACTTTAAATATTGTGCATAGATATGAGACGTTATACGTTATAAAGATAATGAAAAACGAGGCTTTCCAATACGTTAAAACCTAATTTGGATGCCTGACAGACAATCCCCATACTTGGCATACATTATTAATGAATAGTGAAGCATATAGGAAGTGAAGTTAGAAAATAGAAGGATGAAGAAAGAAGAGCGGGAGATAGAGGTTTTCCCAGAGTATGGGTTGGGGCAACCATTACCTAGAACGTTATATATCCAAAGTCAACACAAAACATAAGACGAAACATGCAACTTGTGACTTGTGGAGGGTCAGTAGGGCTTCCCACTATCAGAGTGGCCCGCATTCGTGTGGAGTCTTACTTTTCTGCTAAAGGAAAGAAACTAAACCTTCGTTTTTTTTTATTTATTGTTTCTGGAGTTCAAAATTTCCACTTTATATATTCCAAGCCTCTATTGATTTATGATGTCTGTTCGAGCTCATGTGGGCCATCCTTGCATAGGTGCTGCTGAGGGACACGTGTCATATGACCTCTTTTTTAGGAGCTGTAGTCGACTTCCAACCCCCTGGCTATAAGATGATTTGTGGCTATCAGTATGTGGAAGGTAAGTAACCTTTAGTATGTGGTGAGTGTGTCCGGGAACATGAACAGCAAAAAAAATAAATCTACAGAAGCCTGGACAGGCCCCTCCGCCATCATTTCATAGTGCGGTTTGATTACTGAACATTCCCACCAAGTGTGCAGCAGGGTGTCCCTAGCTGAGTCGCATCTCCAGCACTTATCTGTCGTCGTGCTGTACATGTGAGCCAATCCTATGGGCATTAGATACTGAACGCCAAGGCACGTTGTTCCTGTGATATAGCAAGGCCTAGGTCTTTCTCCCATTCTTGAAAGTTAGGGTATCATAGTATATGGAAATCAATTTATTTTTCAGGTTCACGCTAGCGCACATTTTATTTTTTCAATAAGGGACATTCCTGTGGTCAGTGCTGTGGGAGAGCTATGTAGTGTGGATTGCAGCTGGAGGTATGACAGGAACATGGAAGATGGTATATCATGGTCAAACCTCAGCTGCAGAAATGTTGTAAGATGATCTCCTGTCCATATCCGGTGCTGGAATAGCAGTCCCCTGTCTTCCCAACCCCTACTGTCAAATTTGGGAATCAGGTACTTAAAACTGTTTATGGGAGTAGCCAGAGATATTGGACCATGTGTAGAATTTATTCTTATGTTTGTCCCATGAGTTGAGCATAGCTACTGTGGTAGGTAACATGTGTGGTGTGTGCGGTCTGGAGGTCTTCGGCAGCCAGAGTAGTGAATCTGTCCCTTCCTCTACAGCAGGGGTTCCCAATTAATTTTTCACGTGGAACCCTTTGACATAGTGTATCAAAATCGTGGACCCCCCCCCCAACGAGGGAGCTGAGCAGGGAGATCACTGCTCCCTCGTCGCCTGCGGCCATTTTATTTTTAAACTTTTGGCAGAACCCCAGTTGGGAAACTACAGTCCACTATGATTCGATATGGGCCCATTGGAGCGTATTTGTTTTGTTATGGGAGCTTATTGCTCGCCCTCTAAGTGCGGAATGATAGTACAGTCGGAGGTCTGGACTTCCCAGGACACCTTACGAGATATTCTGCATCACAGTGCGCTTGGGGATGCGGGTTCTTTATCTGTGATGAATCGGTCTACCTCCAGTTGTAAAGATGACAAGTACAAGGTGGGGATTGCTGTGGGAAGAGATTTAAAACAGAAAATGCAGTTTCGGGAGCAACATCATTTTAGTTGCAGCAATGCGACCCATCCAGGGCATAAATGTACCCCTCCACCTAGTAATGGTGGAACAAGACTCCCCCGCCGGTTTAACAGTTTGATTTGAAAAAGGTAAAAACATGTTTTTGTTTTTTTTATGCCTATGAAACTGCAATTCCATTTAGTAAATAAAATAGTTAATGGTGTTGGTGAGATTTTCTTCTGGGCTATTTGTGCCACTTTTGAGTTACAGCTAGTTAAAAAATGTATATATATATATTTTTGGCAGAACTGTGTGGCAAAGCAGAAAAATTGAGTATTTGAGAGTCTTATCAAACATGTATAATAAGTAAAAAAACAAAAAAATCCCATATTTCTATACAATATCTAAAAAGCAGAACAAAAACACAACACATGGAAATAAAATGAATGTTTTATGTACAGAAAGTCAAAAACATGACAAATCTGCATTATGAGTGAAATAACGATTTAAAGGTACATTGTCATTAAAATAATTGCATTACCCGGTTTAAGAAAGCAAAATGCACGTATACAAAGTGCTAGCCCAACGAATAGTGAATGTATAGATACTAAATTATTAATATTAAACAGTTTTTATGCCTCTTTCATTGGCGGCAGAGAAACATAAGCTCCCCTCAGGGATGTTAATGTAGCCCGTACGTTGCCTGAAAATACATGTTATGCACAGAGAACACAACATTTAAAAAAAACAAAATCACCATTTAAAGGGATGTAAGGCCAGCTGGCTATCTCGTGTCACAATCTGTATATTACGATGTTAAAACCATATGTTACTCGGCCCATTTGTATGTACAATATCTAATCTATTCCATATGTGCAGCTGGATAGAAAAATAGAGGCAAATGAAATTGGATATTACAGCACAGATTATTCTGGAACAGATTTAAAAGGGGGATAGATGTGGGATTTTGGATAAGATTATTTAATAGGAGACACCGAAGAAGATATAGATAGTGCACATTATACAGACGTACATTTATATTAACCTATTAGCTGCTAGGTCATTTCACACCCATGGGTTTTTGCTTTCTGCGCCTTTAAACACAAATATCAGCGTTTTCTTGCACAACCGAACAGTCGATCAAAAGTGAACTATAGCAGGGCTCAACAAATCCCAGGCTCCAGGTCACCATGGTGACATGATAATTTGTGAGTGTGGCAGAATGTGTGTGTTTGTCAATGAGTGTGTCTGTTTATGTGACTAGCCCCATCTGATCGCATGGGATAGGTGTTTTTAATCACCTTATTTCCCACGCCGTGCGGTTCTCAACCTGGCTGTCCCCACCTCCATGCTGGAGATCATCAATTGATGACCTCAGCCAATCCAATGCTTATTACAGAAAAGCATTGAAAGGCTATTGCCGCCATGCGCCAATTAGCATCTCCTCATAGAGAGGCATTGAATCAATGCAGCTCTATGGGGAACGTTCAGCGTCTCAAAACACTGCATGGGGGTGCTGAACATAAGTGCTGCACACAATGCAGCACTGAACTGAGTGACTGCCACTAGAGGTGTTACTAGGCAGCAAGGCAAACACTGCCTTTTCTCTGAAAGGCAGTGTTTACATTAAAAAGCTTGCAAGGACAGGCAGTAGCCACCAGAACTACATTAAGTAAAAATTGTATTCTTGTCATTGAAAATAAAGCTTTGTTAGTTAAATATTATATTGCTGTGTGGTAGACAACTAATTTTTGACCTTAGTCCTTGCAGTATACTTCTTGGGGGGGGGAGATATCTTGTTAATTTTCTACTTATTTATTGCGTCTGTGACATTTGTTTCAGGATATATTTCGCCCTGAATTGAGCTGTCACTAACTATTTAGAGCCCAGTCTTTCAGTCTTGGCTTTATGAGCAGTTTAATGTTTATGAGGAGTTGTAAAAACTAAAAACAGCCTTTTACTCTAATCCCCGGAGCTATACATTTCTTCGTAAAACCAGTTTACTTTAATGTTCATTGAATGATCCCACCCAAAATCTTTCAACTCTGTAAAACACAAACATTACATACTGGGCTCTGCATGTGATGAACCCTCTGGGTAACTGGGGTAAATGAGTGCAGAGTGACCTAAAAATGCACTGCAAAGATTGTTTTCAAAACATAGAAAAAATAAATGATATAGAGAATATATAATAATAGAGTTAAATTATCTTACAGTAATTCAAAAGCTATTCTGAATTTGTCTTTATTTAAAGTTCTATGTCCAATTATACAGTTTAAAAAAATTGCATACTTTGTTTCTAAATCTTTTGAGTAGTTCTACAACATGAGCACTGAACAGACATCCAGCTACCATTTGCTTCCCTTGGACACGGGACACATTGATCTTCAACAGTGAACTCCAAGTCTTAAATCTATCTGAACAGTGGGATGTTGGGAGTATGTATATACAAATCATAATTCTCTAATTGGCTGCTGACGTCACATGCTCCCAGGTGGGTTTTTTGTAAGGAACACTCAAAGTACCATTATCATTACAGCACACTGTAGTGGTTATTGTGCCAGTGGTGTTCTGCCATTCCCTAGTATAGGTAGTCAACCAGTTTTAGAAAACCAGACAGTGAGCCAATGAGTTTCTGGAACTCCTAGAGTTTGCTGAGTGCGGAAAGCGGCACATGGTTGTGCCCAGGTAAGAAAAACTGTTCTAAAACACTGGAGGGGGGTTGGGGGGAGCTGCATCAGGGCCTGTAGATGCTAAATATGGTGTGGCCAAAAGAGATGTCAATCTCACATCCTGCATATCTAACAAAATATCTTTAAACAGAGTGGGAAAAGGTACAGCCAAGTGATAAAAGAAAAAGTAACCCCATCACAAGAATTTAAGTAATGGACAAGGTCATCACAATAATCAGAAATACATTCCCCAAGCCTCTGCATGCATTGGCGAGCATTGTGAAGATGTGTCCAGGCGCCTAAAAGAAGATCTTACACAAGGTATGTATTGTGGCATGTAGAGGCAGATAAAATATGATCATAAGCCAATGGAGACCAGGTGGGAATGGGAATTTACCAAGGAAAATAGGTTATAAGAGCCATATGTCCTCAAATCGATATTTCTCTAGTGCTCAGTCATGGATACATTACTCGCTAAAAGCTTCAATATCTCTAGTACTAGGGTTCACAAACATTCCTTGTCGTCATGACGACGAGGGTGTTATATTGAAGCTTTTAGAGAGTAATGTATCCATGACTGAGTACTGTATTTATGTTGGTCTTTGGTGTAAGCACCTTTATGTGATAAAAAAATAAACATCCAGTTTAAGATATAGATCTTATGCCTCTCAAAATCCTGGTCAAGAGTTTTTTCCAGCGAGCAGATTTAAAAAAAACAAAACAAAAAAAACCCACAACAACAAAACAGTTATGTCTTCAATGTTAGAGTACAAAAAACAAACAAAACAAAGAGCAACAGATGGATAAGATTTTATCGGCTTACCATAATCAGTTAAAGTGCCAGGTTAATATAGTGCTTCAATATCTTTGTCGAACTTCAGTTAAGTATGAAAATGCAAAGACAATAACATAATGTGTGTACATTCTCTGTAAATATGGGGCGGCATTATTTTATACAAAATGACACTTTGAAAGTTCTAGCAGCTACATCCCCCCATAAAACACACACAAAACAATTGCACGGTGTATCCATAAAGATGAAAAGGCCCCCTCTGTGGGTAATTCTTGTTGTTTATTTACTAATTAGTGATTTGTGAACTAAACCCCAGAAAACAGGCCAAAATGTTACGTTTAACTGCTTTTCAAAATTTCGCACTTTGGTTGTAAATAGACCCCTTCCTATCTCCAAGATGTACTTGGAAATCAGAGAATATTTGAATGCACCTTTCCTGGTTAAAGGGAAACTATATGCTTGGAATACAAATTGTATTCCTAGCACTAGAGTGCCTCCTTGTTTACGCCCCTTCCCCGGCAGCAAGTGCCATGATCGCGTTAGGACAAACTAAAAGGAAAGCATACATTATTTTCTATGGGTTTTTTAGCTGACGCTTGATGTCCTCATGCACAGCGGAAGCGCCTCTAGTGGTGGTCTAGTAGACAGCCACTAGAGGTGGAGTTAACCCTGCAATGCAATTATTGCAGTTTCTTAATAACTGCAATTATTACAATTGCAGTGTTAAACGGACAGGGGCAGTGCACCCAGACCACTTCAATAAGCTGAAGTGGTCTGGTTGCCTATAGTGTCCCTTTAAAATACTTTGTTTTTATTATATGTTTCAGTTAAGAAATATTTCTGCCTTCTGCTGTCTTTGATACAGGACATTTAGGCACAGAAGAGGGTTTAACTCCTAAAGTGCAGCAGGTCACAAATAGAAATTGCAAATACATAACAAATATTACCATTTTAACCCCTTAAGGACCAAACTTCTGGAAAAAAGGAAATCATGACAGGTCACACATGTTATGTGTCCTTAAGGGTTAAAGCTCTAAAAAGTATTAAAAAAATAATTGACAATATAGAAATAATTTTTATAACAGGAATTTTGAGGCAGATTTAACAATCCTCCCACCATCTATTTTAAAAAGGACACACTTGGCACTAAGTAGTTCAAACTCACTGAAGTTATTATAGTAACTAGAATCCCACGAGCAGGAGGTACAGCCTAGGTGGAGTACAACCCCCTTATTAGCCATCCTATCCCAAACTAGTGATTGTTGGCAGTCAATTGAGCACTCTCTGCCTATCCCCGTTGCCCAGAGCTTGTCTGGCTAACGTAGAAGCATCACTCTGACCAGCAGAGAGGGATACGGCACCCTCATTCAATGTCAAACGGATTACAAATTGTTTCACATTGAGCAGTGGGATGGCTTCAATGAGATGGTTACAGTGCCTAGTGCAGGTGTAAGCAACCTTCGGCACTCCAGATGTTGTGGACTGCATTTCCACTGATGCTTTGCTGCCATTTTGGCTGTAAGAGCATTTGGGGAGATGTAGTTCACAACACCTGGAGTCCTGAAGGGTGCCTGCCCCCGGGCCTAGAGAATCCCTTTAAAAACAAACATACTAAAAAAAATAGACCCCCAATATAATACTACAAACATTAAGCATTTTCAATTTTTTCCTTTTGTTCCTAGGATACTTGTTATCCCACCTCAAAAGGGGAAGCAAAGGGATTTAAGATATATTAAAAAAATAAAACTAGTTCTTTAAAAACCAGCATCTGTAAGATTATATTTTACAGGAACTGTAGATAACTATTGGAATAATAAACTAAAAAAAAAAAAAAACAACCCAGCATCATTATAAAATAAAGTGCTACTTGTTCATGAATCTATATTTTAAAAACAGAGAGTTGAAATTAAGGGTACGTGGAGAAACCGTTTTGGGAAATGACAATGTGCTGAGCCAGCCTAAAAACTTGAGATTTACTTTCCATCAATTCACACTTCAGTGAATAACCCTGCAAGTTCCAATGCACATTATTTAACTGTACTAAAAACGGTTTCAAACATTATCCGTGTGCTAGATACAGATTTAGCCATACCAAGCACAAGTAGACCTTCAAATAAAAGTTACACTTATACAAAACACCGCCTACAGAGTTCACATTTCCTTTTTGGAAGAGTGGTAAAATAAACTACGACCTCCGTGTCATTTCCCAACATTTCTATGGATTAAGACAAAAGGAATATATTAAAAAAAAAGTTCCAGATGTAAACACAGAAATATCTCATGTAGATGGATGAACATGTGTCTGGGACTCCACAGATTCCACTATACTCTTTAACTGTCCTTCATTTTGGAAAAAATGCACGTAAAGTTTTTTTTCAATTTGGTGCATTTTATTGGACTGTAAAATATTCCGCTTTACTTTCAGGTCTTCAAGAACTTCAAGCAAAACATGGTTCAACCTGTCCAGCTGAGAATCTAACTGCTGAAAGTGATTTGCCACCTCCTAAAACAAAAACACACAAAGAAACAAAAATAAAACCAACAGAATAGAGAACACGAGACTAGAATGCAAAATACATGCAGCACATTTTATAATCTATTACAAATTAAAATAAAAAAATAACCATTATTAAATGGAAATACAGTAGTGCAAATATACAAACATAATTGGCACTTAATGTGAATAAATACTTATAAATAACAGCAGCAAAAAATAAAAAATAAAATAAAAAAATGGGAGGGGGGGGAATGAATTTCATGTATATATTTAAAAGACTTTGAACTAAATCAGAAAAAAAAACACACAAAAGGATTACATTCAACACTATCAAATGAACATTCGACGATCGAACTGAAACATCGAAAAGCATAATGGGTTTAGTAGTTCCTAAGAAATTCGAGAATAGCAAATCAACCAATTTGGACTGAACAGACATCGGAGCTTCGAATTCCGAATATGACATGACTGGAATTGTTCCAGTACGTCACTGCTGGGTTTGAAGAGTGAATAATGGCATGCCGAGGAGTGGTAGATCACTTCTGGACATTCCCGCCCCCAAAGGAACACCACGATTGGTGAGAAATTTAATTTGAGCCCCTATAAAAACAGAAAACCCAGGAGAAGCAAAGTATCAATTGTAAAAGCCTGGTGGACAGGTGAAACATGTCTTGGAGGAAGTATTCCAGTTTTGTGTTTTAAACAATTACTTTTTTTCCCTTTAATTAATTTTTTTTTTTAATATATATGTATCTTTTATACATTCCTTTACATCGGGGGTGTCCAACCCGCAGCCTGGGATCGCTAGCAGTCCCTTAAATTCTGTGCTCTTCTCGGACAGCTCCCTCATGCGCCCTGCAGTGAGTCAGCCCCCGGGATATGACGTCATCCCAACATCGGCATCACTGCTGGGCACGTGATGTGTGATTATGTGCATTTGTATATACATGTGTATTTGTTTAGTAGATATCTTAGCCAACATAAGGATAACAAATAAGGCTTCTGAAGTTTTATTATATTGTATGTGCGGACTAAGGCAATTCTTGGACATTGGAGTAAACCTTTAAACACAGATAAACCTATATGTAAAACAAAGGTTTAAATACTTTAAGGGGCACACTGAGCAAAATAATCACAACAGTTTTAGTGGTTATGCTGCTTAGTATTCCCTTGTATTGTCTTGTTAGTGTTCCCAGGGCATCCTTTAAATTAAAGTAATCCTCTGGATTTTGAAATGTGTACCACAAATAGCACCTTTAGAAATTACTGCAAAAAGTGAGTATGTGCTCATCCACCCCTTTCTCCAAAAGTCATGGACACAACCTGTCCACAAATTTCTCCCAAAAATAGGGATACAAACATCCCTTAGTTTCATAGCATTCAGCCTCAGTTAGAGGCTCAGTTTGCATGATTGCCGAGCCCAGCACTATTTGGGCTCCATAGAAGTGAGGTAACGCATCTATGTAATTTACTTTCGAACAAACAATTTGTTAAGGCACAAGAGAATGTGTTCACAGGACACGCAAACCGTTATATTCCCAAGTACTGCTTTTCACTTACCGGCGTGTTCAACAAGAGTTCCTTTCCTTCAGGATACATAAAATCCTGTAAAGATTTCAAATTAGCATCAAGCTTGGACAGAAAGAGAGCTTGTTCCTGCTCAACAACAGACAGCTGATCTTTCAGGGTAGTGACATCCTGGTTTAATTTCTGAGCCACAGACTCTAATCCACTGTATGTTCTAAACAATTTCTGTGTCTGATCTCCGTCCAGAAGCTGGTATAATCTACAAAACATGAAAGGTGCAGCGAATAAACAGCAATGAGCACTAACCATGACAAAGGCAATGAATCTCAATATCACTTAACCACGGCAGTCAATGTAACAATTCATATACGGTCAATTCTCTGAACAATTAAACTACCTGAAAAGGGCATAGTATCGGGAATAAGGGTGACAATCATTTTTGAGGCTGTGTCTAATGGCTAGCCTGTCTCAGATTGCAACCAACGTGCCAATGCTAGGATACATAAGAGCCACTATTTTGACACAGATATTGAATTGTGGTTAATAAAAAAAAAAGAGCTAGGGGTAGCGCCCCAATTTTGATATATATTGATATGCCAACATACCTTCTTTCTTTTAATATCCCCTGTAAGAACATACTACCCTATTATTCCTGTTTCATACGGACTCCACTGCTGAACCCACCCTGCTACGCCCATTAAGTAATTACACAAACACTTGGTGGAAAAAAAACACTTCTGACAAGTGCATCTCTATAGTATCTCTTGGACTTGTTTATCATTTGGACTTTTAAATATATATTTATCTAATCTATAATATATACTGTATATAACACTGTATATATCAAATTGTGGCGCTACCTAGAGCTCTCGCTTTTTTTTCGATGTTTTATTTCCATTAGTAAGACAAAAGGGATCCCTACTTTTTGGGGTTAGCTGCCAGTCTCTTACTTTCTCTAGTTAGACATTTACAGCGCTGACCCTTCCCTCCCATTTCTGGGTAATAAGAGTGCATCAAAGGGTTCCAAGTGTTCGGTTTTAAAACTTAATTATCAAAACACTAACATACAGTCATGATTTTTTTATGGGCCTTACCGACTATTTTTACAGCGTATTATGTACTTTTGTAAAAGCAGTATTCTCCTGAAAGTGATACAGGGTGTGGAAGACCTACGGTCTATAAGATTTCTTAGATAACAAGGGCACCTTACAATGGCACCTGGCAGGAGAAAAGATTGGTGCCATGTACTCATCTCCATTGTGCAGCTGAAAAAGCACCCAGATTTAGGTTTTACCTTGATTTCTTGTCTTCCCCCAAAGAAGTTATTCAGATAATATCTTATTTATCTATTCAACTGAAATTCCAACACAAATAGACAGGCTTTTATAAGGATTACATTCTGAAAGACAGGTGACCAGTATCCACCTGATATCACAATACACATCCCAGTTAACTGAATTTTAGCCAGGTGTGTATTCTTTTGAGTCACATTTTTCTCAATAAAAATAAATAAATTAAAAATAGTGTGACAATATGTGGTTAAATTATGATACTGGATAAAGACAGATTTATATATTGGTCAGACTGGTTAGGAAAAAAGGAACATCAATGGGACATGGAAACTTGTTCGACGTTAAAGTATTCCTTCCTGGCCTGAGTCTTGTCTGCCTCTGAAAATGTTCTAACATGAATCTTCAAGTGTTGCCTTTGGAAAATGTTCTGAAACAGATTCCTTCTTCTGGCATTTGCTCTGGGACTGCTGTTTCCAGGCTGACATACCATGGAAACACTCAAGTAAAAATAATGTTGTCTAAACTCTATATTATAGCTGTAGATGTTGTAATACGGCAAAAAGACTACACGCTGGCCTCTACAGCAAATCTCATATACAGGAAAGATTCTGATTTCATGTGTCATGGAAAAACTGCCACCTCGACAGCATAATAAATTCAACATCAACTAACCACAAAAATACAGTTTAAATTTTACTAAGCTATGCAAAGAGAACAATGCATGATGTTGAAGTTCTCTTTTTCACAGGCTGAAGTTAGCCTTCTTATTCAGTGATAGAAAATAGCTTCTTATTCATCTAACATTTTTATTCATTCAAAATGTATGTGCAATATAAATATTACTTGATGAATTCAGTATTCATATACAAACCATATTTCTACACATTTTTGATATAATAAATAATGAAAACAATACAAATAATAAATGTTATTAGCCACATAAATTAAGTTGGCTCATTTAAATTGACTTGTTTCTGTAAAGTAGTACATTGTATCTTCCGACCTCTATTTAAAAATACACATTTGCCACTTAAATAGGGCATCAAGATGCCACCTTCAAATCAATGCAATTTAAACTAAATCCATCTTGGCATTAATTTCTATAGGGGTGTCCAGTGTATAGAAATCAATGCCAACATAGATTTAGTTTAAATGGCATTGATTTGAAAGTGGCATCTTGATGTCCCTTTTAAGCGGCAAATGTGTTTGTTTATTTTAGAGATGGAAGATACAATGTACTACTTTACAGAAACAAGAGTCAGTTTGAATGAGTTAATTTATATGTAGCTAATAACATTTATTCTTTTGTTTGCATTATTATATTATTATATCAGAAATGTGCAGAAATATGGTTTGTATATGAATACTGTATTAAGCAAGTAATATTTATATTGCAGAGTTTATAATATTTACATACATTTTGAATGAATAAAAATGTTAGATGAATAAGAAGCTAACTTCAACATCATAAACAATGCCAAGTACGGTCAGTACTGGTCAGAGCAGGGTAGATTATGTAGAATAATATTTTTGTTGGATGTTACATTTTTGCAGTTGTATTAAAACAGCAGTCCTTTCTTATGAATCACAGCTAGGGTGCTCTCCATGTCAAACAGTGCAGAAGGTAAAACCTACATAGCATCCATTAAGGAATTTTATTTTGTAAAAGAACATGTGATTTTTTTAAAAAAAATTTAAATGGACATTTCTAAATCAGTGGAAGAGATTTGGGAGCATGCATACCTGTGCGAAGCAGTGTCTTTGGAATCGAGGTTACTTCTTGGTTTAGTGGAGGATAATACACTGAGATCCGACATCATCAAAAGTCTCTCATCCAATTTATTAGCGCTTTCCTTTAAATTTTCAGTTATGTCTGTAAGCTGTAGATAAACCTTGCGGTGTTTCTTTAATTCCAATTCATAACCCAGCTGAAGAAACTCAAAGGAAGCTTTTTGTTTCAGCAAATGATTTCCCACAACGTCCTGTTTCTTGGAGTAGCTTTGGTGATGGGCAAGCTGTAGGTCGTAGTTTCCTTTCAGAATAGGCATGTTTAACAGCTGGGCATTCTGCTTAACTAACTCCAGAATACGATCCTGTTTAATAGCATCAATCTGGGTTTGAATTTGTGTTATTTCGCTGTTTAAACTTGAAATTCTCGCCTGCAGGTTCTCTTGGTTTCCAACCTGGAAAATAAACAAGTTCTAATAAAAAAAATACACAAAAAATGATTTCAGGCCTTTGTCATATCAAGGATTGTTATTCTCAAAACAAAATAAGGACTAAGGTGATTTATGCCGATTATAAAAAGCACAGGGACAAGTCTAAGAAAACTGTCAACTTCCATGAGGTTCTCTCCACGGGTGCCATGATTTGAAGGGGCACTATAATCACCAGAACAACTACAGCTTAACCCCTTTAGGACAATCGTGGCAATCTTGGGGTTAATCTTCCTGTCGTGTGTCTCCATATCGGAGGCACACTACCATGGGCAGTTTCACTGATTCAGCCCATGTGATCGCTCTGACCGGGAGTGAGTCCGAGCGATCACACTGCTGGTTAGTGAAACCTGATCTGTTTCCCTGCAGCCCCATGTGAGCTGTCAACTGCAGAGAGACAGATCAGTGCTGATCTGTCTCTCTCTGCAAGAAAAAAACCCAGTAAGTTACAAAATCCCACCCCCCCAACCTCTTATAAATAAATTTTTGCCCCTTCCCTGCCCTTTGATCACTGCCTGCAGTGATCAAAATACAGATCACAGTATTTCACTGTGATCTGATTTTTTAACCTCTGAGGGTTAACTTATTTTTTTTTAATCCTCAGGGGTTAAATGTAATTAATTTAAATATTTTAAAATATTTATTTATTTAGCTAGGGTGGGTAGAAGTTAGTGTGGAAATTGGGGGATTTACAGTTGGGCTAGTTTGGTGTTAAAAGTTTAAAAAAAAAACAATTAAAAGTGAAAAAACTTCTGAAAAGTTTAAACAAAGTTTTAAAATAGTAAAATAAGTTGTTAAAAGCTAAATAAAACTTTTTAAAATTAAAAAAACTTTACAAAAATGTTTAAAAAAGGGGGGAAATGCGTATTACCTCTACACTTGGTACAGCCTAGCGAAAAGATGATACCACGCTAAGGTTTCAAATATGCATTTAGAAACACCCTGGGGTGTCTTCTTTAGGAAATGGTATGCCTTTGTGAAGTAATTGGAAAACACAACCTATTAAAAAAATTCCAAAGTGGAGCATGGACCCAGAGTAAAAATTCTAACAAATGGCTGTGTCTCAAATGTGTCCCTTCAACGTTGTCACATACCTGGTAAAGGTACATACGGGGTTATTGCTGTACTCAGATGACATAGCGGAGCAACATATGATGTATTATACTGCTGTAGCACATATAATGTTTGCAAAATATATATTACAAACTCATTCAGTATGTCAAAAAGGCTAAAAAAAAGCTTATTACCACTATACTTGGTATAAGGTAGCGGAAAAATTATTTCACGCTAAGGTTCAAAACACATCTTTTGAAATACCCTAGGGTGTCTTCTTTAAGAAATGGTATGCCTTTATGGGGTAGCTGGAATAAGTAACCTACAAAAAAAAACAAAGTGGGGTATGGACACAGCGTAAAAATGTAAAGTTTGAAAAAACTTAAATGGCTGTGTCTCAAATGTGCCCCTTCAATGTCCGCATATACCTGGCAAAGGTACATATGGGGGTATTGCTGTGCTGAGACGAAATAGTAGAGCAAGATAGGACGTATTATATAGCCATAGCACACATAAGGTTTGCAAAATACACAGTACAAACTCACTGTGTGTGTCAAAGCAGAAAAAATGCTTATTACCACTGCAGCCTGCTAACATATTTAAAAATAGAATACGGACCCATTAAAACTCTCCGTGTAAATTCACACTTAAAAACCTGAACTTGTCACGTCTCTTTCACAGCACTGTAACTTCACAAAATAGTGTCTGGGTCATACATTGGGCTTATTGTTTTACTCGGAAGAGGTAACTGGGCATACTTAGGGGGAATTTATGACAGTGGCACTTATCAAATGTAAAAAATACCCAGCAAAATGCAACATGTATGTAAAAAAATTTAATTTCTTTTTCTCACCACAAAATTTGAAATAAATTGGTGAAAAAAATGGTGGCAAGTTAAAGGACCACTATAGTGCCAGGAAAACATACTCTTTTTCCTGGCACTATAGTGCCCTGAGGGTGCCCCCACCCGCAGGGACCCCCTCCCGCCCGGTTCTGGAAGGGGGAAAGGGGTTAAAACTTACCTTTTTCCAGCGCTGGGCGGAGAGCTCTCCTCCTCCGATCCTCCTCTTCTCCTCCCCGTCGGCTGAATGCACACGCGAGGCAAGAGCTGCGCGCGCATTCAGTCGGTCACATAGGAAAACATTCATAATGCTTTCCTATGGACGCTGGCGTGCTCTCACTGTGAAAATCACAGTGAGAAGCACGCAAGTGCCTCTAGCGGCTGTCAATGAGACAGCCACTAGAGGAAATAGGGGAAGGCTTAACCCATTCATAAACATAGCAGTTTCTCTGAAACTGCTATGTTTTTAAAAAATGGGTTAACCCTAGCTGGACCAGGCACCCAGACCACTTCATTAAGCTGAAGTGGTCTGGGTGCCTAGAGTGGTCCTTTAAGGTATAATATATGCCTAATAACATACCCTGGAGTGTCTGCTTTCTCAAATGGAAGGCCTTTGTGGGGTTAATTGAACAGTCAAATGGCTATAATGCCACAAAATCAGACATATGACCATCTATGAAAATGCCAACTATAGAAACTGAAATAGCATGGTCTCCTATATGGCATTGTAGCTTCACAGAATAGGAGCAAAGGTATACAATGGGGGTATCGTTTTACTCATCAGATGTAGCTGAACACAATATGGGGTTCTGTACAGGGATAGCATACACTAGGTTTACAAAATACACATTACAAAAACCTTGTAATATGTGTATATTCCAAAATAGAAAAAAAAAAACATTTTACTCCAATATTTAGCAAAGATTGGCGGTGAAATGGCTACGAAAAAGTGTCAAACTAAGCTTAGGTAAATAGCCTGTGATGTCTACTTTATATAAATATATACTTTTGTGTGGCAATTTTGTTTCCTGTAATGGGTATTAAACTTCCAAGGCAAACATACCAACTTCTAAAATTGTTTCACATTGAAATTTTATTTTAGACCTTGTCGTTTGTGACCTGTACATTTCAAAATAAACTGAAATCCTACACATATTATGCACTTTGTAAATCAAGACACATAAATGAATTGATTTTGAATTACTTTTCCTAAGCTGGACATATTATGCACACATTATTATTGTTTTTTCCCCGCATTATTTTGCATTTTTTTGGTAATAAATGAGAATTTATATATCACATCAAATTAAAGCCCTTTTTGTTGTCTAAAAATGATATATAATATGTGTTGGTACAATAAATGAGAGAGATGCAAATTCCATTTGAACACAAACAGCAAAAAATTCAAAAATTGCTTGAGTCCTTAAGGGTATGTCCAGCTTCTGAAGCCGTGTCCTTAAGGAGTTAATGTAGTGGTTTTGGTATCTATAGCTGGTCCTTGTAGGTATTTTAATGTAAAGGCAGTGTTTACATTGCTGCTTATGGACACCTCCAGTGGCAATCACTCAGACAGCCACTAGAGGTGCTTCCTGGGTCAGTGCTGCAAGCTCTGCATGATGATACTGAACTTTTCCCATACAAATGCATTGAGTCAAAGTAGTGCCATGCTGCCACTCCCTACCCCATTTAAAAAAATTCAAACTTTTTTTTTTTTTAAACAATTTGACTTCTTACCTGGATTCACTGGGTGCTGCACTGCGTCTCCTCTCCTAACATCAACAGCGCCCCAGCAGGAACATCTTTTAACGCCCCTAAATTAGGCCCTGCAAGCTCTCCATCATGGTTAGTAAAACGATGGACCTTCCCCAGGTAAGAAGTCAAACTTTTAAAAATGGTTTGCCCACTTACAATAGAGTTGGAATTGCCAGGGCACCATAACCACCACAGTAGCTGTAGTGGTTATAATGTTTGGTGTATTCCTTGAATTACTTCAATGCTTTCCACTGCAGTAATATGAAATGAATTTTGCTTTCCAAAATCATCCTTCCAATAAGCCACACTTTTATTATAAATCATACTAAGATACTGTATTAAAGCACTTGCATTACCTTGTTCTGAAAAGAAGAAGCATGACCCTCAGCCCACTTCAGGCCAGCCTTAAAACTTGCCCCTTTAGCCTTTGATTGAATTAGTTTGTGTTTTGTTCCAGTATAGGCCAACTGAAGCTTCAATGTCTCCATGTTTTTCTCATCAAAAGTGTGCTCAGAAGTCTTTTCAGAACCCTGAGGAAGGTGCTGAACGTTCCCATCTGAGTCTTGCATACACATCGAGAAGCCTTCATCAAAATGTTCTTTAATAAATGATGTTATTGCAGCCGTGTGCTGTTCTTCACTAGACAGATACTTATCTAGGAGAATTTGGAATAGAAATGTCGGTGAAGACATCTCACAGCCTTCTTCGGGAATGGTAAAGAAGGACATTAACTCACGGACACCTTGTACAATAGAACTGAGTTCATTATTCAACCTATTGTTTGTGCCCTCTAAAGCCCTCAGTATTTCCTTCAACTTTTTAGCATCCTCCTCCTCTAAATTTTGTAACTTCATTGATAGTTGACTATTTCCAGAAGCAACCATTTGCAACTTATTGCGTCGATGGATGCGTACATTTTTGAGTTTCTGCAAAGACTCAACTTCTTCCTCTAGCTTCTCTATTGCAACGTCTTCCATGGTAGCGATTTTTGTGTTGGTTGGATTACAGGTCTTCAAAACCTCACTCACACCTTTCTCATCTAAAATGGCTTTGCCTGACTCCTTTAACTCTTTAAACGCTTGTAGTTTCTCATCAGGTACAACATTCTGCTCGGTTATACTTGCACAGAACCAGTCTAAAAATGGTTTGGCATTGGTGGTTTCAAATAGCCAATCAAAATCTTCTCCATCAAGTTGAGGGGCTTTGGGGTAACCAGCTTTACGCAATGTCTGCACAAAGCGTTCACCACTATTCATGTTTTCAGATTAAAGAAAAACCTGTAAAGTAAACAGATACAAAATGTGTGTTAAGTATAACTGTGGCATTTCCCACGTATATGCCTGGTGAATATTAGGGATCGACCGATATTGATTTTTTAGAGCCGATACCGATATTCTGTGAACGTTCAGACCGATAGCCAAAATAATTTGCCGATATTCTGTACATTTACCATTTTGGAAAATAAAAACTATTTCTAAAGGCAAATGCACAAAATATACATGCCACGTGTAGTGGATGCAGTGTGTTTAGACAGGGGAGCTGTGTGTGTGTGTGTAATGTGTAATGTGTGTAGTGGATGCATTGTGTGTTTGTGTAGTGTGTGTGTGTTGTGGATGCATTGTGTGTTTGTGTAACGTGTGTGTTGTGGATGCAGTGTGTGTTTGTGTAACGTGTGTTTGTGTAGTGGATGCAGTGTGTATTTCTCTAGTGTGTGTAGTGGATATTAGTGTAGTGTGTATATAATGAAAGCAGAGTGTTTGTGTAGTGTGTGGGTAGTGTGCGTAAAGTGAATGCTGTATATACTAAATGCAAAGTGTGTGTATTTGTGTATAGTGAATGTAGTGTGTTTATATAATGCAGTGTGTTTGTGTAGTGTGCATTATATAAACACACCACACAAACACACACTGCATTATATACACACTATGCAAACACACTACATTATATAAACACACTACACAAACACACACACTGCATTATATAAACACACTACACAAACACACTGCATTATATACACAGTGTGTTTGTATAGTGTGTGTATATAATGCAGTGTGTTTGTGTGCATTATATACATACACACACTATGCATTATATACACACTATACAAACACACACACTGCATTATATACACACACTATACAAACACACACACTGCATTATATACACAGTGTGTTTGTGTAGTGTATGTGTTTGTATAGTGTGTGTATATAATGCAGTGTGTGTGTGTGTCTCAATCTGTCAAAACATTGTTACTTTTTCCTCTTTACTTTCGGACCAATCCCTTACGTCATAAAGTGCTCAGTACACCACGTGGGGTAGACTAACGTGGTTTGATTGACACTTGCCCTGAAGCTGTTCAGTGCGTACTACGTGAGGATCTGAGCCACGCCTACTTTATTTGGGCGCAAATACTCAGAGTGAATGGTTAGAAAAAACAATTCCCTTTAGATACACCCCCCCACCCGCGAGAGCACGGACACCATTGGAGGGACAATTATGCTGTTAAAGAATTACTAAGGTATATAAGTATACTCTCATGAATAGTTCGTTTGCCTCTGACAAAGGTGCTTCCCTAACAGCACCGAAACGTGCGTCAGGCGTTCTATTTTTTCTTTTTCTTTTCTATGGGCACTTAACACTTGTCACAGCATCTAGTATGCCGCACATGGGGGGGTGTGTTTTTTCTATTTAATGATATTTCATTTCTTTTTGCTCCATCTGCTGTCTAGTTAGAACAATAGAGAATTAGGCTTTGTAAATGACTTTTACTGCAAGATTTTCAAGCAGCTTATCTTTACATCTATATCCTCTATCTCCCTTTGCATTCTGACAGACTTATACTCCAATTTATTTAACCATAGATATACTATTGAGCATTCTAAGCATCATAGTCTCTATGGATAGTATTTCCCTGACTAATTTTCAACTACATCTATTTAGAGATAAGCCTTTTCAATTGATTTTTTTTTTTAACCTTTATTGGTCGGTTTGTTTTCCCTTTGCTACGCGTGGGGAGCAGAAGGACCGCCTGTGGGTGATCTTTTCTGCTCTCCCCTGAAGCTGACAGGTTAATAAAGAAAGAGGGGAACTCTGATACACCCTAAAGCACTCCAGCAAGTTGATATGCTTTAGGGGTCTGGAGCGTTCCTTTAACCCCTTAAGGACCAAACCTCTGGAATAAAAGGGAATCATGACATGTCACGTGTCCTTAAGGGGTTAAAGGGAAACTATAGTGCCAGGAAAACAAACAAACTACCCACTACTGTCACTTGGCTTGTTCCAGTGCCGATGTCCCTCGGTGCTGGCTCAGGATCCGCTTTCGCTCATCTCTAGCTGATGTCAGCCGGCGGGGGAGACCAAGGGCGCATGCGCGCCAACGGCCGCACTCACATCTGTATAATGCTTTCCTATGGGGGTTTTGGGTGATGCTGGACGTCCTGAAAGTCACCCAACATCCCGGAAGTCCCTCTAGTGGTTGTCTAGTAGACAGTCACTGGAGGCGGAGTTAACCCTGAAAGATAATTATTGCAGTTTATCGAAAACGGCAATAATTACAATAGTAGGGTTAAAGGACCTGGAACACTGCACCCAGACCACTTCAATGGGCTGAATATGGCTGGGTGCCTATAGTGTCCCTTTAAATGTTAAATTCAAAGCTCATTCCAAGCACCATAACCACTGCAGCGCCCATGTGGTGGTTATGGTTATATATAAATATAATGGAGAGCTATATGTGACAGACACCCTGTGTATGGACGCAGGAAGGTTATACTCACTCTCCGGGGAGGGCAGGGATCAGGAGTGCTTTGCTTTTCCCGCTGCTCTGGCTCTCCACGTGACACAGTGACCGGAGTACGGCGCGGCCAGAGGACCAAACATCCCTGAAAGGCGAAACACTCCAAAAACTGTCCCGCCGGCAGATTGTAGCCTTCACCGACTTTATTCTTCTCGTTATTTACTAAAACACCGATTGATGTTTAATTTATTAACTAGGAAAGCCAAAGCTAAAGAGTTTATAATTTTAAGTGCGCGGACGCTTACACTGAGAGACTGTGTGAGTTAACGAGGACGCATCACGCCTTACAGTTATTACTTGCAATGGGCGGAGGGATACAGATCTGGCACATACAAGTACAATTCTTGCGGACTACGTTTCCCGTGATACCCTACCCTCCAGTCTCCTTAGCTGAGCATCATGGGTAATGTAGTTTGCAGCATCTACTCAATTATTGGCTCCAATGACCTTATGTTTTGTCAGTTATAACATTGAGCCTTCCCTCACTGGTGGTCAGTACCAGCAGCTGTATGCAGTCAATGGGCAGTGAGAAGTGCATTTTTATATGGGAAAAGTCCCATTTTTAAATCCATTTTAGTCATTATTGTAAATTGTGCCTCTTTTAATAACCAAATAAAATGATCTAAATAGATTGAATCCCTCAGAAATAATAAAGCAGCTCTCTCCCACCTGAGCCACAGATTTAAATTTTAATTCAAAAGTCTGTAACGCGTGTAGGCGGTTATTCACAAATTGTAAATTTTTTGAGAATTTAAAGTGAATTTCAAACTTTTAGCCAAAACGACAAAATCAGAAAAAAATTCTCTCATATCCGCCATAAAATGTACAATTAATAAGGCACGTTAGTGAATAACGCTCCGGATTTTGGTGAGAATTGGAGGGAATTTGGGGCGGGCCCCTCTACGCCTGCTATGCCCGTATTTCCTATGTGTTTTGTTATGTTAGACTAAAAATGTTTGTCTTGTTTATCTATTGTACATCGCCGCAGAATCTGTTGGCGCTATATATAAATAACTGTAATGTGTCTTGTTTTATAAAGAACAAAAATGCAGAAATACAGGCAAGAGTTTGGATTTTACAACCGCAAGGAGCCGCTATCGAATGCTGCGGGAAGAATTATGGAGGCTCTGAAGTCCCGTTCTCCATACCGAGCGATAGGGGGTGCGTTCGCCGAGGAACGTAAGATGTTATCTGGTACTAATTTCCTAGCAAAGTTTTATAACAGGAAGATACACTGCACTTTGTGTGGACCTTATTTCTTTTTATTTTCAAGGTATTCCGAATATTTAAAGAAGCGGTCTAACCACTAAATGAGAATTAATTATATCATGAACCCCTGGTAACTGACGAGTGGTGTATAATCTATGACATATGTTACCCTACCCTTTTACCATCTTAAAAGTCGCCGCAAGATTAAGCATCTTACATGTACTTGTGCGGCTCGGTTCTTTACTTGATATTGACATAACATTAATCTATATTTCTTAAGTGTGAATCAAATTCTTTGCTATACTAGACCAGTGACGGCTGGCGAATGCCTTCCCCAGTATTTTTCTCCTCCCTATGCAGTACAGAGATACTCATACGATACAGAGAGCTGAGCATAATACAAAGACGCTCATACAATAGAACATGCTGGGCACAACAAAGATATATGTATAAAATACATAGGACTGAGCACAAAACAGGGATAACCATACCCCAAACAGAGCTGGGAAAAAATAGAGATTTAATACACAGAGCTGGGTAGACCACAGATATATCCATGCAAGAGGGCTTAGTAAATACAGAGCAATAAAACGCTGTGCACAATAAGGAGATACTCATAAGCATTTCACACAGTCAGGATTACTGTGATGGATTACACAGAGCTGCAATACAGAGATACCCACACAGTGCATGTCTCTGTATTATGTTCCAGCTCTCTCTCTGTCTGTCTTCCTAGGCTCACAGATCTCTCTTTCATGATCTCATCTTCAGTAGTGCTACTTCTATGATAACTTTAGCTGTCTGCTAAATTGGCGCTGTCATGCCAAATTTATCTTTCCTCAATCACTTCCTCTTTTCTTCCTCTCTCTGAATCGGTTCTTCATATCTTCCTATCTGATCTAGTTTTCATTAAGGAGGAGCGTAAGTCAGCTCCTTTTTTTGTGGTCAAAGAAAATTTTCCCACATTACTCAACCCCTTTTTCCGTGTTCTCGCGATGCCTCCATTCGCCATTCAAATGCCCTGACATGTAGACTAGGGTGCCGGTGAATCCACCGAATTTCGTCCTAACTGAATGTGTATAGTTTGTCAATTCGTGTTAGGATGAAATTCAGGCATTTTTCGGTTCGGAATTTCATTAGAAAGAATGTAATTCTGATCCGATTCTTGCTGCAGCTGCATCTTGCAGCAGCATAGTAGATAGGCCCCTAATTCCCATAGTACTAGGGAGCTATCTTCTAAAAAGCTGAGGGACCAAAATTGGTCTTTCAGCCAACTTTAGAAATACTATGTAAAAATTACATAGTATTACTAATTAAGGTGGATTAAGATCTCCCTCCTGCCCCTACTGGCTTTGTAGAAGCGAGTATAAGCATGCCCATTGCCTACTAAACAGTGAGCAGTCAGTGACAAAAACAAAGATTCCCCCCCACCCCGAATTTAATACAATGCCCCATGATGGGCCATCTATTAGAATATTTTACAAGGGTCCATATTGTCTCCTGATCCCCCACCCGTTTGCCGCGAGTGGGGGCCACTAAACTAAAAGGAGGACCTAGTGTCCCTCCCGGCCTCCACCCATGAAAGGCGGATGGGGCCCTAAATGGCAAAAGCAGGGTTGAATGCTATTGCCTCCCCATCCCCCACCCATGAGCGGCAGGTGGGGGGCCCTAAGTGACAAAAGGGTTTTGGAACCTATTGTCTCCCCCCTCCCCCAGACCTCACCCATGAGCACGGGTGGGTGCTCTAGTGACAAAAAGTGCCCCCCTCAATAAAATAAAATTTTACCAACCCCCACCTCATCCTAATAGGGAGGGGGAGCAATAAACTAATTACTAATTACCTAAAAAAAAATCCAAAAAAAATCATACTTACCATAAGATGTTTTATTTTTTCTGAAATCTTCTTAATTCAGCCCCCCAAAAAGCCAAGTAAAAATCCATAAAGCTTGTCGAACTAATAAAATAAAAAAGACCTGATCGCAAAAAAACAAAAACGCGTCCAAAAAAACTGTTGGGGACCCCCAAGTGCCCCTGTAGACGAGCCTCCACTGTTCAAGGCTGCAGGTACACCCGGGAACATATTTTCATAGTTATGAAGACTTGCGTCCATCAAGGTCAGTCTTTCTTACATCATTTTTTGCCGTTGATGCAAACTGGGCAAAGAATCCAGTTACTAGGAAAATCTTTTTTTTTTCTCAATCCCTGAATGGTCGTAAAATCCCTCTTTAGATTAAGAAGCTCTTAGCCCAGATATCAAACATTATATCAGTGAATATGTTTTTGCACAGATTCATCCTGTTACTGTTCAAACATCTGCTCGGACTCTGGTAAAATATGGCAAACATCCCCCCAGTTTAATTAATTTTAGTATAAAATTGCTATTTAATGTGTTAATATCCAATGATAATGCTAAATGGAAAGCTTAGTGGCCCAGATAGAATTTAAACGATGCATAACTATTTGCATTGCTGAGGCTTAACATAGCAACTGTTTTAATATTACAGGGAGTGCAGAATTATTAGGCAAGTTGTATTTTTGAGGATTAATTTTATTATTGAACAACAACCATGTTCTCAATGAACCCAAAAAACTCATTAATATCAAAGCTGAATATTTTTGGAAGTAGTTTTTAGTTTGTTTTAGTTTTAGCTATGTTAGGGGGATATCTGTGTGTGCAGGTGACTATTACTGTGCATAATTATTAGGCAACTTAACAAAAAACAAATATATACCCATTTCAATTATTTATTATTACCAGTGAAACCAATATAACATCTCAACATTCACAAATATACATTTCTGACATTCAAAAACAAAACAAAAACAAATCAGTGACCAATATAGCCACCTTTCTTTGCAAGGACACTCAAAAGCCTGCCATCCATGGATTCTGTCAGTGTTTTGATCTGTTCACCATCAACATTGCGTGCAGCAGCAACCACAGCCTCCCAGACACTGTTCAGAGAGGTGTACTGTTTTCCCTCCTTGTAAATCTCACATTTGATGATGGACCACAGGTTCTCAATGGGGTTCAGATCAGGTGAACAAGGAGGCCATGTCATTAGATTTCCTTCTTTTATACCCTTTCTTGCCAGCCACGCTGTGGAGTACTTGGACGCGTGTGATGGAGCATTGTCCTGCATGAAAATCATGTTTTTCTTGAAGGATGCAGACTTCTTCCTGTACCACTGCTTGAAGAAGGTGTCTTCCAGGAACTGGCAGTAGGACTGGGAGTTGAGCTTGACTCCATCCTCAACCCGAAAAGGCCCCACAAGCTCATCTTTGATGATACCAGCCCAAACCAGTACTCCACCTCCACCTTGCTGGCGTCTGAGTCGGACTGGAGCTCTCTGCCCTTTACCAATCCAGCCACGGGCCCATCCATCTGGCCCATCAAGACTCACTCTCATTTCATCAGTCCATAAAACCTTAGAAAAATCAGTCTTGAGATATTTCTTGGCCCAGTCTTGACGTTTCAGCTTGTGTGTCTTGTTCAGTGGTGGTCGTCTTTCAGCCTTTCTTACCTTGGCCATGTCTCTGAGTATTGCACACCTTGTGCTTTTGGGCACTCCAGTGATGTTGCAGCTCTGAAATATGGCCAAACTGGTGGCAAGTGGCATCGTGGCAGCTGCACGCTTGACTTTTCTCAGTTCATGGGCAGTTATTTTGCGCCTTGGTTTTTCCACACGCTTCTTGCGACCCTGTTGACTATTTTGAATGAAACGCTTGATTGTTCGATGATCACGCTTCAGAAGCTTTGCAATTTTAAGAGTGCTGCATCCCTCTGCAAGATATCTCACTATTTTTGACTTTTCTGAGCCTGTCAA